CGGTGCGGCGCTGCGAGCGCGGCTGCTGGGCCGCCGTGACCCATTACCGCATCCACCGCCTGGACAACGGCTGGCTCTACATCGCGCCCCGCCTCACCTTCCCCAGCCTGCACAGCCTCGTGGAGCACTACTCCGGTAAGGCCCCGGCGCCCGGCTGCGTGTGTGCCCTGCAGGGAGGGAGGTGGCGGCCGGTGCCCCACTTGCATTGGGGTGCAGATGGGGGGGTGCACCCTGTGACAGCACCGGCTCCCTGCAGAGCTCGGCGAGGGGCTGTGCTGCGCCCTGGGGGAGCCCTGCTGCACCGACGGGGTGAGGGCGGCCCCTGCGCCCACCGGGCCCGCTATCGTGAGGAAGCCATCACTCAACTGGGACAAGATGGACAGGTAGGGACAGGGCGGCTGCCCCCCGGCCCTGACAGCACCCAGGGTCTGGGGGCTGCCCAGTGACCGCCCTCCCACAGCTCCCTCCTGTTGGACACCGCGGCCCCCCCCGAGGACTGCCCCGTGAGCCTGGGCCTGCGCGAAGCCGTCAGCTCCTACCTGCTGCTGACGGGGGCGGCCATGCCTGAGGAGGCCGCTGAGGGGAACAGGGCCAAGGACTGCTGAGGGCAGGGCCCGGCCTGGCCGTGGCCCCATGGCGGGGGCACAGCCTGGTTTCAGCCATGGCTGCTCGCTGGTGCTGCGGGAGATGGGAGCCGGGACAGGGGAGAACTGAGGCCAAGGTGGGGACCGACAGGCACCGATGCTGGAGGAAGGGGCTGCCCAGAGGCCTGCGCTCCCCAGAGCCGGGCCCTTTGGGATGTGAGGTCTGAGCAGCCCCAGCATATCCCCACATGGCGCTGGTGAACACAGGAGGAGCCGCTTCACAGAGGCCACATCCGCACTCCCACATCAGCAGGGAAATAGGATGCAAGTGGCCCAAAGCCTGGCCCGGGCTGGGTCCAGACCCCTCGAGCTCATGCACAAACTGACGTGGGGTGAGGTGGCTGCAGGACAGGGCCTGAGAGAGAACCCTCCTGCTCTCCCCCAGCCCTAAACTCACCCCTGTGCCTATGGGACCAGCCAGGAGGAGACCGGCCCCCTCCTGCACCCGCAGCAGCTATCTCTGACCCTGGTACCACGCGGATTGCACTGGGCTCAAGGGCCATGAGCCAGGATCCTGCTGGAAACGCAAGCCCCATTTATCCCATCTTGATTAAAGGCATCTCGTTCACACGGACGGGGTGTGAGTAAATGGTGAACTGCAGCTGCAGCCACGGGGCTGGTTTCACCATCCATGGCCTGTGGGGGGGGGTTGCTTCTGCTGCCTGCTCCCCACACGGGGGGAGCCACCGCTCAGCTCACTGAGGACACCTGAGAGAGGCCTAGAGCCTGGGGATGGCTAAGGGCACTGTCCTAGGAGCAACGGGAAACGGGTCCGTGCAGGATGAGGTGATCCAAACAGGCACAATACAAATCCTTGTGTGCAACCCCCATTGAGCTGCACCGCTGGGCTAGAGCGGACCTAAACAGCAGGCTCAGAGCACCACCAAGCCTCAGCCTTCGCATCCCTCCCAGCACGGCCGTGTTGCTGCTTGTGCCATCCCCTCCTTCCTTTCCCCGTGCTGGTGCCTCAGGACCCCCCCTTCTCTGCAGGTTTCCTGCCCCGCCATGCTCGGCTCTCCTCATTTTCATGTCTGACCCACGGCTCCTCCAGGCCCACCCTCGCTGTCTCGTGTCCCTGCACGCAGCAGCCCGGAGCCTCACGCACCTGCGCAGCCGTCGGGCTCAGCACCGGTGTCTCAGCTGCACAGGGCACAGGTTGGGTTTGTCCCTCAGCCCTGACCTGCTTCCACAGCCAATTGAGCCGCTGCTGTCACCCCCGGGCCCCCGCAGCTGCACAGGGGTTTCCCTTCCTTCATTTTTGCCCTTATCTGCCCCATTGGGTAAAGGATCAGCTCCTGGGGCTCCTTCCTCCTCCTCCAGCTTGGATCCATCCACAGTGGTGTAGAAGCATCGTTGGTGCTTCTTCATCAATGGTTCTGCCTCAGACTGGAGGGTGCCCATGTGGCACCATCCCCACTCCGGCCTCCCACCCTTGAACACTGCAGCCCGTTACCACCATCAGCACAAAGCCTGAAGTCAAAGCAGGATTTTCGGCTGTGGCCAGCACTGACCTCCTTGGAGAGCTTCATCCCCAGCTTCCTCTGCAGTGACAAGTAGTGACGTGCAGGTGTGCAACCCTGCCATACACAGCTGTGCTCTGCCACCTCACACCAAGCTGTTTGAGCATCCCTTCCACAAGATCAGCTACCAAGCATTTGCTGGGATCAAAGGGGCTGCTGAAGGTGTTCACATCTCCCTATGGAAACACATTTCCACCTGAAAGGTGAACAGAAATGACGTTTATAATTTCAGAAACAGGTGAAGTGCCAGCCTTCATGGCTCAGTTTGCAGTGTTCACCTGACAGCACTCATCCTGATTCACTGGGTCCCAGGAACTGCCCATGGATGCTCCACCTTCAGGCCTCCACACTCCTGGAATGAGTGTCCTGGCTTCACACTTGAACCCTGGCACCAGACTCTCACACCCAAGGCTCCAGGTGCTGAGAGCTGCGCAGTTCTGGTTCAAGCAGCCTCCTTCCTACCTGCAACACTTGGTTGGTGTGAAGTGAGTCCTGACTGATCCTGGCTATGAGAGCTGCTGCTCTCACCGACACTGCCCAGTGCTCAGTGCAGCCCTCAGGCTGCTCACTGAAGCACACACACATCAGGTCAGGTTTTATACACCCAGTGTAAAGTATTACCTCTGTTAGGAGTTGGGAATAAAATGTACAAGCTCTTCACTTAAAACAATATCCAACATACACCAATACATTTTGCCTACTGTTTTCCACATCTCAAATATTCCCAATCATTCCCATACTTTAGGAACAGTTAGGCTCTCCATTCCTGTTGAACTACAGTATTTACATTTCAATGCTATGTGAAAAACAGTCCAAAAATGCCTTTATTGGCTCATCATTAATTGAAACAAAGACTTCACTAAGACTTACCAACAAAAACCTATTTATTTGTTCCAAACACCAAGATACAGAAGTTTTCAAGTTTTGCAAATATTGCTCCAAAGCAAAGTTCTATGTACAGCGCCCTCGGTTCTAATAGTGCATAAACAAAGACAAATATATTCATGTATCCACAGTGCAATGTTTGCTCATTTCATCAAGGCTCCACTTTGCATTCACTTACCAGTGATTTAAATAAAAAGTGACCTGCCAGACCAGTTGTGGGTCCAGACTAAGACACACCAATGTGGAAACTTGCAAAAACAGGGACAAAACTGAATCCAGGCAGAGCACAATAAAGCATCTTTCCTGAACGTGAGGAAAGCTAGTCTAGTTTAAATAAATAGTTTCAGTCTTTAGCTGCAAGGGCTCCCCCAGCTCTACTCACCAAGCCTCCAGTATTTGCCAGCTGATACCCCCATCAGAACCACCTCTTCTTCCACATCTGAACTCCTGCCCTGAGCAAAAAGAAACTGGCAAAGTAAAAGCCTACAATGGACACACAAAAAGCGATGGCTTGGGAAGGAGAAGTTCTGCTCTGGAGTGGAGTCTGCTCAGGGATTGAACCCTTTCATGCCCTCTAAGCACAGCTGACGTGTTAACAACACAGTGCCCAGTGGGAGTGCTTGCTTTCATTTCAACCAGGGAACATCCTCCTGGCCCATCTCCCCTGAAAACACCCCAAAACTTTCACTGTGTCTGGGGTGCTCCTTCTGATGCTGTCCTGGTTGTCTTGTTACTGCCGCCTGTTCTAGAGCTGCACAGTACACACGAATCCAGGTATCATTCACAGGAAGGAGACCAGGTGTAAGCACTGGGCTCAACTTCGGGGAGCAAAGTGATACGTAAGTATCAGGTAAGCTTTATTTCAATTGTGTTACAGAAAAATAACTGTTTTTCTGCTGTACGTGTGTTGTATTCACTATAGACCAACTAGGACTATAAAACCGCGACACAAATCATCCCCTGAAACGAGTCTTGGCACAAAAGCCTCAGTTACTACCTACAGTAGCCTCAGTACTTTGATTTCTAAAGGAAATGACATATTCACTGGGTAGGTACCCTTAACTCCTACAATGATAGCGGATATTTCACGTTTACATTATTTGCTGTATACAAACATTACAGATTCATACCCAAAATCAGTAATTCCTACAGTTATGGGACTTTCAATTACAACTGTGCTTGAGCTTCCCCTTTGGTGGTACCATCACACACAAGATCAAGGTAACAAATCCAGCCTTTTAAGGACACCCTCTCTCTGCAGAAACAGCTTTCCCACACTCCACAATGAACTTCTCAGCAACGTTTGGGAAGGGAAACTAAAGTCACAGCCATCATTTACGGAGCTATGATCTGCAGCTGAAAGACTTAATGTTTCCAATACTTACAACACACCACCGTTTCATAGGTACAACGTGACTGGACCAGAAGCAGCATTTTCACCTTGCTCTCACAAAGGAACACAAACCAGAGAATTCAAACTCAAGGTATAAAAAGGGACTTTGTGAACATACACCGTGTAAGGGAATAACCCACTCACTGCCTGCGAGGACAGTACCTCATGCATAGATCTCGAGGCTTTATTTACACAATATAAAACTGATTCCCAAAACCACACATTCAGAGTAGAGTCTTTACAATGAACACGTTCAGAGGATTGGAAAAAGTCTACGTTTCAAAACAGAACCGGAATGGCAATTATTAACACATGGGTAGAAAACGATACAACCTCCACCACAGCCCTTGCTAAGTCTGGAACGCCGAGCGTGGCTTTCCAGGGTGGCATCTCCCAGTGCCACAAGCAGGGTGTCCCACTGCACTGCTTCAGGAGGCACAGCGTGGCCGTGTTGAAGAGCTCAAGAATGCACATCGACACAACGTTAATGGGTTTCTCCCCAGTACCAAGTCATGTGATAGTGACAGGATAAATATGGAAAACAATCATTTATTCTGAAAGTGAGTGCAATCCACCTGTGACCTTCTGCTACATCATTTAACATAATGAAAGTGGGGGTTAGGCCACTGTTACTTGCAAACCTCCACGTAACACTTGACAGTTAAGAGCTGGACATTCATACCTACTAAGTCTGAAAACTGTTATAACATTTCCTAATGATTAAATACTGTGTGCTATTATGCATAAACCAGAAGGAATAAAACATGACACAAGTCACTTAAACTATGCAAAGTTATTTACAACCTCTGTCAACTAAACATTTTTGGCTCTTAGAACTCTGTTCTTCAGTGGCACAATTTTTAGTCAATTTAAGGATGACAAAGTCTACCGTTTAATTGAGCAACTTGTAAAGGAGTGAGAATTTAAGTGTAATTTACCAACACCCAACCTCTGAAGACAACAGCATGACCTCTTCTGTATCGTTACAATGGCCAAATCCACCCGAAATAACCTTTTAGCTGTTCTTTGAACAGCGCTTCTTCACAAATCCCTGAAGTCAATCTGCATCTCATGCAACCAGCATGCTCGTTTCATTTAAATATACAGAGCTGTTCACATCAGATGCTCCAACTTCGCACTCAGTAACAGTCTCCAACATCTTCTAGTCTCATGTTGAGCAGCAGAGTGCAATCTGTTGCACTTTGCCTAGGTCCGTTATAAGCTGCTTTATGCAACGTTTGAGCTGAGGGAGTCGAGCCAGTGGTTCTGGTGGTTCCAGCTCTCCTGTGTAATCCAGCCAGCTCTCCAAAACTGCAAAGAAAACCACAAGTGTCACTACTGCAGTGCTCAGGGAACAGGTCACCTGAAGTCACAAAGCAGGGACTCATTACATCTTCTGTGAAGAGCAGTGGGCAATAGTTTTAACGTGGTATTTCAGAAACCCCAGCTCCTCACACCAACCTTTGCAAACAGCTTTTGATACATGACAAACAATTCAGAGGGGGGGTTGTGATGTGCCTAGGAAAAAGCAGGGAAGGAAAACTCAAGACCAGATAGTGTGAAATCTGGTGCTAAACTTCCTCTGATGTATATCAGTTCCACCTCAAGGGTTAGGAAGCTTATACCATGAGATTACCTGAGATCAGCATTAGATGCAACTGAAGATCCTAAAAGGACAGGACTATTCTAATGAAAGAACTTTGCTATCAATAGACTATAATGGGCAAAGACAGAAAGAACTGGGTAACAGAAAACGAGAATGAAATCCAAAGGCACAAAAAGAACTGACTACCACACAAAGAAAATGAATTTCTGATCTAAAGCTTCTCAGTGGGAAACAAGAACCAGCAATACAACTGCCCAGAAGGCAACACAGGCAACACCATACCAGAACCTTTTTCTGTACAGTTCTGCTCAGTTTTAATTTGATCTTTCCTTTGAAATCCACACCTCCCCTCCATATCAGCCTGGCTGTTTTCTCTCAGTAAATGCAGTAATCGGACAAAGCAATGCTCACCTTTTTGTAGGGCTGCAGAAGTAAAACTCAGGTTAACATGTTCTGAATGAGTCATTCATCACAGTTCAGTTTTGAAACAGGAAAAGTGTCACCTACCATCTAGCTCCTTCTCAATGAAATCCATCCTGTGGATGACTTCATCTTGCAGAGATTCCACGTGAGCTAAAAGGTTCAGCTGCCACTGCAGCTGCGAGTTCACAACTCCTTCTTTGTCTTTTTCCAGCAATTTCATTTCAATTGCTTCCTCTGGAGAGCCTTTCTTAGAGACAGACTCTCTTACCTAGCAGGAACACACACATTCATGTTTGTTACTGTGAAACACAAGTGGGAAACCAGCCTCTCTGGGTCCTTACAGTTACTCAAGCTAATTGCTCAACTGATCTTAGGGTAATGGAGGACAGAGACACAGAGAAGAGATCACACACAAATGTTAAGGCAGTTTGGGCAAATGGGTCTAAATACAGACATATTTTTACATGTATTTTGCTAAGATCTATTCTTTGTACTTCACAGGCATCTGATTTTCAAGAGAAAATATAAATCCATGTAGCTAGCTCCCTGCCAAAGTCCAGCCCTTCACCTGTGCATCCTTGGGAACACTAAAGCCATTTGTAACATGACAGTAGTCAAGTAAAGAGCAAATGATACTGCAGTCAGAAGGGATTTTTCCTGAAGGAATATAATCTCAATTCTACTACAGCTTTCAGGGAAGGATCTAGGAAAAACCACATCACCACCCCTTATTGATGACACTGTCAGCAGTGTTGATTCTACCCCCCTGCTTTTGTCATCATTCTGCTGAAACACAACAGGATACAGAAAAATGCTCCTAGAAGACTGAAGAACTGAAATACACATCTTTCTGGAAAGCACACTGCAATGCCAAATGATTTGACAGAGGAGTGAAAAACCCCCATAGATTTCACCTTACATATGCATGAAATAAAAGCTAAACAAACTTTTCACCTAAAAATGGGAAGTCGGTATTTCCCAGAGGCTTTCATTTTAATTTGTATTGGCAACTTACATTTAACAGCACAGACCAAAAGTTAAACACAAATAAATAAACTAAATACTGCTAAGAAGTGTTGAGGTCTTCACTTTGCCAGGGAAACACATCTTTAATGCAGAGATGGTTACTTTAATACAAATACCTTAGAGTAATTGTGTTTGGGTTCATTCTCCATCTTGCATATTTCTCGGTCCAGATTCCAGCCAAATCTCTCTGACAGGGCATCATCCCCGTTTTCCCGTATTCTATTTACTCCATCATCCATGGCTGAACCTCTTGTTTCCACAACCAACCTCTGCTCTATCGCAGGGTAATAGGCCCGAGGCTTCTGGTAACAGTGTTCACTTGTAATGTACGATTCCTCCACAGAAGGAATGGTTGAGGGTTTCTCAACTGTCCCATTCCAAGTTCTGTAACTTGCCGTCTCCTCTTTGCAACAGTTTTCCTCAATGTGAATGATGTGTTTTGTATGAATCTTCTCATCCACCGTGATGTGCTTCCATGGATGGCACCAAAGCTTCAGGTCAGGATGCTCTTTATTTCTGTTCAAACAGAAAGCAAGTAAACCACCTGAATTTAAACGTCAGCGATGACACAAACTATCCTTTCCAAAGAGGAAAGAAGTGTTTCAAGTACTGCCAGTGACCCTACTGCATCACCACAGGTAAAATGTAAGGGGAAGAGTGCTTAAGTACACTGGAAGCACTAAAAGCTTTGCTTTCCAAACAGCTGCTGCTGTGTAATTTATCAACTAACATATTACAAATATGGAATTCAGTCAATTTAAAACTGCTGGATTTGTGGTAGAAAAGAAATGTTTACAGTTGTCGGAACCCCAGGGTGAGTTTAAACAGGAAAAGATGCAGAAAACTCAATTTCTACAATCCTTGCAGAACATGTTATTTTTTTTCATATATATTTGTAGTCATCTTTGCATAGGAATGAAGTGCTACACATGGCTGAAGGTGCAACTGCTCTTCCATTAAAACATTATGCTGAACAAAGAGATTTGCTTTCTGCAGGAGAAGCTCTGATTTAGAATTACTGGAATGGAGAAGGCAAGTGTCATAATAATGCTGCCAGAGGTTATACACCCATCACTCTGGTTACTTACATCTATTTAGGTGCTTTAGGAGAAGCTGCTGCTACTAGTTTTCTCCCTCTTCCCTTCATACTTTCCCAACCCTTCTATATACAACCCAATTTATACCCTTCAGCACACTTGCATAGTTTTCAAGCAGCCAAGTCCTTTTCCCAGATCATGCTAACAATCCAAACTGTTATTATATATACACAAATAAGCACAGAAGTCCAAATTTCCAGTTATTTTTCTACTATTTGAAATCTAATTCACATTGAGAACATGCCAACTGACACTTAAACACTGCTTACTGTAATATGCTCATCTTCAGCTGCAGTCCATGCAGTACTTCTATCACTCTCTGTACATCGCCAAGAAGCTGGTGAGTGGCTACAATCTTCTTGGCATTCTGGTGGGAATAGTTTTCTTCCAAAAACGCTAAGCCATGCATGTGACCATTACTTAACCACTCCTTCTCATACCAGTACTTTAAGCTGGACCTCTGACCTAAAGCAACAGTAATGAGTGTGTTAAAATGAAGCATTCACTATGGTATGTTAACATTAATAGCAGAAATTCTGATTATCTCCAAGTCTTACAACAGCTTATTTGTTCTTACCAATAGTACCAGTAAAGACCCTGAATAGCAGACCTGAATAGCAGACAAAATAAAGACCAAAAAAATAGCAGACCAATAAAGACCCTGTAATAGCAGACAAAACCCTGAAAACATGAAAAACTTTAAAGTGGGAAGTGAGATAACCTCAGTCAAAAATCTCTGCCCAACTGTAAGAGCATTCAGATCCCAAATTCCACCAGGACAACCACAACAGGTAATTGCAGCTGATGCACAGGAAAGAAGTGTATTTTTAGCAGGTTATCAGTGTCTAGTAACCATGGTTATAACTAATGCTACAGATTAGATAAGAGCTCTTTGCAGACAGAAAATGCAGCAAAAGGCGGTGAACATCCCTCCCCAGTGGTCTTGTTTTTAAGCATCATATATGCATTAGCACAGTCATTTACAAATACATTTTAAAGGAATCAATGATGAGGTTCTGATGGAGAACTTGCCTAAACTGGGCTATTAATACTGCAAATTCTAGCTTAAGGGTTTGGAATATCAGCAACAGCTGAAATTATGTTAAATGTGGTAAGTGCATCAGTAAAAATAACTTGAAAAGCCAAACAAAATGGTATTATTAAGAAACAGTGGAGTTGACATGCATGCTAAGCTGCAAACACACAAGCATGTAAGCATAGCATGTCTTCCTTGCTATTAGAATACAAGCTGCACAAATCAGTAAGTTAAGCTCGAGAAGAGTTAGTAGTTTTAAACACCCCCCAAAAACCAAAGCAGAGATGACAATGCAAATATGTACATAAACTGAAATTGTCTTAAAATGTCTTGTGATTAGGCACAGAGATCCCATTTTCTCATCATTAATGAACATGGACTCAAGCCCGGACCTCATCTGTTTCCATATTCAGCAAAGCTTTATAATTCATGGAGTAGGAAGTCAGAAAAGATGCCCACAACTGTAATTATACCTTGTGTTAGATGGACTAAGATATTTTAAAATCCATAATTAAGAGTAGAGAATGTACTGCTTAATCAACTCTGACTGCATTACCCATTACCATTCCAAGTAATGCAGTCAGACAGGTAAGAGCCACGGCTGCTGAGAGCCTGGGGGCCTCTTGCTAACTTAAAGAACTAAGGCTGGTCTTGTTGGAGGAAAGCTGCATTCACATCCCATAAGATGTGCCCACAGGGAGTTTCTGCTTAAGTTTCCTGAGTGCTTCTAAATTCATTTTCCATAGCCAGACAGTACAATCCTTATTAGTGGCATATATGTGACAGATGGTCACCACAGCTAAAACATTCACTTCTATTCCTGTCCAGCTGCAATTCCACAATATTGACTCATGCACAGTCACATAAGTTAAACTTTCTGTATCTGTAACTCAACTCTATTACCTAGAATGACAGGCACAGCCTGGGGAGCAAGACGTTTAATCTTTGCAATATGTATATAAACTAATAAAGTTACTGCACATAAAAGAAAGCTCTGTAACCTTCAATTTCTGTACCTGGAGGATCTTGGCAAATATAGCAGGTGTATTTCTCAGGTATATTATCTTCCAGTAAACCCATACAGACTCCATGCTGCCAGCACAGACACTCTTCACACTGTTTAAAGCCAAGAAGTGCACATCAACAGAAATGAAGCCTACAGGAGCTCAGCAAGATTACCTCAAGAAAAGACACATCACCCCCACATTTTAAGACAAAAAGGTATATCAATACCCACCCCCTTTTCCAGCTACAAGCAAATACATTAAAGAATCAGGCTACGATAAAACTCAAACCCTTCCCACAAATTTTCACATGGATTCCTGGAGAATGACAACAATTACTAAGTAGAAGGAGAGCTCCGAAAAAATGTTCCCTTTGGAGATGAAAATCTTTCACACATAATCAGGACAGAAAACAGTATGCAATCAAGCAAAATGTATCAAGTGTTCTGAATGAAAAGGCTTCCCCTTCAAACAGTAAACCACATTCCATTATAAAACTGAAGGGATATTCATGTCACACCAGACTAGCCAATATTACCCTTTACTGACACTTGTATCTCTAACATCTTACCTGTTTCAAAGGTATGTCTAACATCAAACCAAAATGGAGAAGCACTTGCACTAGCTTTAAAACTTCTGACATCCTTCCAAGTGTGGGCAATCATACTTGCCAGCACTGAACATAATTTGGCTCTACTTTTTTAGCACAGTTACGCTATTTAAAGATGCAACTGTTGTACTTAAAGCCATACTGGTTTTAAGCAGGAAAAACTGTATCCACATGTTCTGTTTCAGTCACTTTCCCCCCTTTCACAAGGAGACAAAACTGCAGCTGTAGCCTAAAGACTGCTGAAACATGGGGTGAATCTCCACTGAAGAACATCCAAGCCAATTTTGATTGGAAACTGTGGTGTCATTCAGAATTACTATTTTCATAAGCAGTTGAGACAACAGAGCACAACCTTTGCTTCTTGGAGCATAAGCCAAAAGCTTACTGCAAAAATCCTGTCAATATTGGCAAAGTCTTCAAAATGAGCTAAACCAAAGAGCAACTGCAGCAATCTCAGATGCCGCTCCTCACTGACCTACAGGGATGCCAACTTAATCAACATCTCTGAACACTCCTTATGCCACTTTCAGTACTGCTGCTTTTATCTGCAGTCTTTCCTCAAGCTAGGAGGGACAGAAAGGGACCACCAGTTTTTGAACACATCACTGTATTAAATTAGTGGTCTAGGTGTGGAGGAAATGGAAGTGCTGGGAACAGAGAATGTATAAGGTCAGAGATAAAAAGATTTCTGTAAGATGGGACTAACAATGTTTTGCCTTACAAAATGGGTAAACAGTCCTAAAGCAGTTAACTTGCTTTAAAAACAGGCTGAAAGACCATCCACCTTTCACTAAGTGATCAGTAGGAGCCAGAAAAAGGTGTCCTTACACAAAGGAAACAGTAAGAAAAACATGCTAAAAATAAGAAGGGAGCTCCTGGACACCTGATACACATTGCATCCTATACCCCTGCCATATGGCAGAGCTACACTTTGTGATTTTCCAGGCAAATTTGCCCAGAACTCTAATGAAGCATCCCAACTGTTTTTACTTTACTCAACTGCTATTTAAATACCCATCCATCAGGGCATGCGGCCTTCCTTTTACCTGCATGTCCCACTTTACAGCCTGGCTGGCCAGGCAACTCCTCTGGACCCAAGTGACATAGGTGATACCCCCTGCGCAAGTAGTAACAGGGGGATTCAAAGCAAATCCAACATAAAATTTGAAGAGGAAAAACATGCAGAGTTGTGCAGTAACATCTACATTGAAGTAAAAAGGAAATAACCAAACTCAATGGGCATTTATTTAAACACCTTTCCATCCTCCAGAACAAAAATATCCCAAGTTCATTCACATCCATCACCACCGAGGCTGCCAAATCCAGCCCCAGAACTCTATACAAGCCCATACACTGAGCAAAGTTACGTATCTTCAGGAAGAGAGGACAAGTCTAAAAGCAAGTTCTTTAGTGAAGATGCTTCCAAATTCGAGTTTCCAAGTTTCAAATTAAAGTCTGAGTAGGAAATAGGGGAGAAATCTTACAAAGTTATGACAACTATGCTATGAAGTCAAAAGGGAAGTGTCAGTCTCGGCACTACACCTTTGGGAAGCTAGAAATAGATTTCCCTCACCGTAATTCCATATTATCTTTGCTTCGTATTAAAGCTCTATACTCAACTAGCTAACCCAGGCACTTCTACATCAACAACAGAAGAACAGACTGTTCAACACATTTCCCCCCCAAACCACAGCCTGACAGGAAGGTGTGGGGGGAGCACAGCATTTGGCACCTTAAGCAACCTATGTGCCCATCCTGCACCCCCCTCTGCCCCTAGATATTGTTACCAGCTCCTTGCTCCCCACTTCCTATTGCTTCAGTCCCCATAATGAACGCAGGTACTTACCATGCTGCTGATCTGCATCTCTTTGCCAGAGAGAATAACCTGCTCTCCTAGGCAATTCTTTTATAACACAGCCGAACTGTTTAAAACTTTGCAATACACTCAAAAAAACCCCAATCCCCAAACTAGATCAACCCAGAAAACCCATCTCAGAAGCAGCCCACGAAACCTTATGTGAAAGCTATCCATAGACTATGTCCTCAGCGAGCTGACAGCTCTCTGCATTGTGCAGTCACAAACTAGCACTGAGCCTGCTTCTGCCAGAAAATTATACTACAGCCTGTATCTGTGTTTTACACTGATCCATCTCCTCTGAGGGCAGCCACCTCCTTTATCCCCAACTGTCAGGCTCCTGTTCCTCCTCTGCACTCAGATACTATTCAGCTTTGACCAGTGCCCATCACTGCACCCTTTCCTACTAATGCACAAGGTATCTTTTGCCCTGCATGCGTAGAAGAATGCAAATCCACAAGCAAGAAGCCAACTGTCAATGACTTGTATAGAATTGGCCCTTTCCCCTTACTTTCCTTCAATTAAAACCCCACACTGTATTAAAAAAGCAAAGTTCTCTACTTATCATTGCAGCTGCTCAACCTGACAGGTTACCTTAGGAAAAAACCTCCTGTTTCAGAGGACAAAGGCAGTTTATTTCATGTACAGACTGTACCAATGCATACTGTTCCACTGACACCTCCTACTGCATTCACCGAAACGGGGATTCACCCTCCACGTCATACCTGAATCATGAAGTCATTTTCTTCTTTTACTTCACAAACGCAGCGAACAATCTCAGAATCGCTTTCTTCAACTTCTTCATCAGGATTCGTGGTGACATCAACGTCCTGACTGCAGTCATCATCGCTCCACAGCAAGCTCTCCAGAGATGACTCACTCAGGGTGTCATCCTCTGTACCAAAAGAGAAGTTAGATAAAATCCCAAGTAATGACAAAACCCCCAAGCAAGTCTCACGATTTCACCCTGAGTATGCAGACATACATTTCTAACAGCACGAGTTCACCATCTGATTTAAGGAACATTGCGATGTCACTATATTATATGATGAATTTTAATGCTAAAGTTACTACTATACATCATAAAGTTTTATATTCTTAATAGTTCCTTCAAAATATTCCAACTTAACAGCTTCAGTCATTAACATTGTACTCTCAACACACAGAGCCTCAAGCCAAAGGCAAAGAGTCTCTTAAGACAAGTAAGTGTAATAAAACCCCATTTATAAATTAGAACAGAATTCACTAGTTCCTGCAATCTGTATAGAACTGTGGCTTGGTACTCTAAGACTAGAGCTCCCAGAAAGAGATAAGAGGGTTCTGTGTTATGAACCATTCCATCTCATGAAGTAATGACTCCATTACAGAAACATTCAGAGTCCAACACAGAATTTAATCCTGCTTCAGAAATGATTATGTTCATTTAGCCTCCTGTTGAGGACACATTTATCAGTTCAGGGGCAGTGCAGGTATTCTTTAAGAATGCTCCCATATTACTTAATGCTTTAAGTGGTTTGAATGAAACTGCCAAGAAAATCTTGTACCGAACAGCATGCTAAACTGAGATGCTCACCTCAGTAATACTAATGCAATGTATTCCTTGGGGGTAGGATGGGAGGGTCAGAGGGAGAAGGCAGGGATTTTAATTATGTGCAAAATACTCTAATGAGGTGGAAGAGAGTAAATTCAGTTGCTCTGAAACAGACTGTGGTCTCTCACCTATGTTGAGTAGAACTATTTTGATCACTTAGGCCCTAGGACCGCAGAAATAGAAGAGCCAGTCTGTGGTACAAACTCAGTCATGTGCGAAAACGTCTCTTCTCAAATTTAAGGGGCTGAGAACCACTGTATTAGTTCATTTCCAGGTTTTAAGGCTTTATTCCACCTCTGAGATAGGACACTCCTCAAGTATTCTGGAAGCAACAGGTTAAGCACACTGCACTTCCATTCTACTACATAAGTTACACTATTGCTTACAACAGCTCTTGTTTATCTGGGCACTGCTGTTATTATTAATACAAGTTCTGCAGATGCAAAAAGCAGTAAGAGAACTGCAAACAGGATGAAATAAAACCATTTCCAATACTTCTCACCTCTTTCAATGTCTATGAACTGATCAAAAGAACTCTGAGCAACTGATGGCCACGTTACTAAACTGCAATACACACTATGGTCAATATACTCCGTAACCACAACTCATCAGACTTGCAGAACATGTTTTAAGACATTATCACCATCTGCGCTTCAGTAGTTTTTAATGTTTCCTCTGTTCCCTGTGTGATGGAATTAACTGAAGTTAAATTTTTACATTTTGCCTAATTCCAAACAATAAAACAATTGTGTCAAAGCATAATCAAATGGTCACCAACAGGAATCAGTGAGGAACTTAAGGTACATAATCAAGCTGTCATACATTTCCCATTTCCTTCAAATTTGTGAGCTTTAATAACAGAAAGAACAAAATGTTTGTTTGCCTTTTTTATTGTACCAGCTTGTGACGGTAAATACTGAAAACTGAAAGCTGGAACACAGCAGCCACGTTTTTATGAGCTCTGTTTATGAAGTACTATGAAGATAATAATAAAGAGCTTATCATCATCATGAAGCTCAGGAAGTCATTATAACCATATATCACAGTGTACACAGCTACATGTAACCACATCCAGTGGTGTCTCAAACACAGCACACGTACTGCATAAAACTTGCATAACCTCTGTTTTTAACTCTGAATTTATACTTCATTGAAGCCTTTGAAATACTAAAAGTTTAAATACTAAACTCTGACCACAGTTACAACAGAGTAAATAAGGGGCTGCAAAAAGGTGCAAAATGAGTTTGAGTCTGAAATAAGGGCAACAGTCTTAAGAGTTTCTGTGAAGGTAAAGTCAAAGCGAAAGGCAGCAACATCAAGCTCTGTCAAAGGAACTGGGTTCAACTTCTTTGGGCAGGGGAAAGGAAACACACAGTCCTGCGTAAGAACAGCCAGATGTACATCATGGGTATTGACTTTTGTGGACATTAGCGCAGCTCACACATTTACTGGTAGTAACAGACAGAACCAGCAAACCAGAGGGGAGAGTCAGCTTACCGTTTCTTTTGGATCTTCCTCTGTGCTGCCCGGACCCAGAGCAGTGCAGCACTGTGCTTGTATGGGCAGATGATTTATTGGAAGGAACAGATTTGGTGACACCTGATTTTTCAGGAGAAAGCTCCTGTGAACCATCCGTGTTTTCCTCGCTGCCAGAGTACTCTGCAAAATCATAACAAGCGGTATTCTTAGAAATCTGGGGTCAAGAGAAGTTGAGAAAAGAGAAAACCAGCACCATGCATGGAGCAGGGGTGTATAATTCCTTGTGACAGTTTGCACTTCACTATGCCAGGACTGCAGGACTTTGTTATGCTGCTTGGAAGCTTTCTAGAGGCAATAGAGTTATTGTCTGAACCAGGAAAAGCTTACACAGCTCTGTCATCCTTCACTGCTGATGTATGTGAGAGAGGCTGAAAAGGCTGGCTAAACCTAACTATTCTTCAGGGTGCACATGCTTTACAATGCATTATAGGCATCTCCACATAAGCACTGTGAGCTGGACACCTCTCCCTCATATCCCACTATCATTCACAGGGGCTACTACACACATCCCCTTATCTCTCAGATTACAAAATGAGCAAAAAGCCTCTCTTATTTTCCTAGTGGATGTATGGAACAGGATGCACGAGTGGAAAGAAGCCCAGTTAAGAAAATGTGCAGAAAACACCTAGAACAGTTCCTCTGTGAAGCATCCATTCAGCACATCCTCGATGTCGACACATCAAGGCTGTGTGCAGTTATAAGCAGCACCCTCCAATCAGTTATCTGGAGAAAACCTTCAAAGCTTCTGAAGAACCACAAGACGGCATCAAAAGAAGGGGCAAGCAACACCTCAAAATCTAAGAGTAGGCAGACAAGCAGTAGTGGGTACTACCTGCAAATTACCTGTGCATCTACAAATGATACTGTGCATACTAGTGTTGTATTTGAGGGCACCATATAATCAGAACCTCACTAAAATATGTTTCAGTACAATTCTGAGTCAGTCTGCCTGTGGTTCCCTCTCCTGCTCTACTCTCTCATGACAGCTCGCCCTATTTCTTCACTGCAGCAAACAAAAATGCAATCTATCTTCTTTCCCATCTCAGGGACTCCTCCGTAAGGAGCTCTAGTTTAACAAATTATGCATGCTAGTTTGAAATGTGCTGCGTTAATGATCCTAGACATCCATCAATGGCAGAGAAAGCTGCCACACTTGATCTCTAAGCATTTCACCGGAGACATCTTCCAGAATCAACTGCCATCTCCAGAGGTGAAGAATCCAATCACCAGTAACACCTGGGCCTAGATACGAACTTCAAAGTGTAAAGTGCCCTGAGGAAAGCATTCCCAAGCCTCTGTAGATAAAATCAACAGTGAAGACATGTTCCTACTACAACCCTATTACCATAGATGGAACAGCATGTTAGGAGACATGACACAGGGACACAGCATGAGACTTTAGATGAGGCTTTTACAGGAGCCCCAAAACTAACTTATATAACTGAGAGCATCTGGTACACAGGGTATTTGGTAGCAAATCCAGGGAATCTGTACCCTCTGTACTTATGTGCAATTTGCATACAGGTGCATTTGCTAATGAAAAGCCTCACTTAATGTTATTAATGCTTAACATCTATTTCAGAGTTAGATTTATTCTGTGCCATTACATGCACTACAGCAAGCTGTCATCCAGCACTAATGGTGCAGCTCAACCAAGAAACAAATTATCTTGCAAATCACAGTATTAACCACTTAATAATAATAATATGAGAACAGATTAACAAAGCAAGCAGTCTTCTCTGCAATGCTCACTCAAGAGCACGGAACTAAGTAACAGGCAAAACAAAACAATGAAGTTGTATTTCCCTATAGAAGAAAAAACAGCTTTACCAGGCTTAGTTCTCTTCCTCTTTTTTTTCTTTTTCTTTGACTTGGACCTTCCATAGTCTTTGGATTTCCTTTCTTTGCTCTTCTCATGTTCTTTGACAGCTGAAATTAGACAACATTCCAACTTAACTTGTGAGACATATACACACTTATTCTACTTAATTACTTCCTTAAAGACCTCCATGGTTTCTTTGGACAATCAGGGCCAGTTCACTGCAAAAAACAAGCAGTAAGGAAACTTACCTGTAAGAATCCCCAGCTCTCATAATCGGAATGTGCTGGGTTAAGTCCTAATTTGACTCTCCCATAAGAAAACTACAATAGCATGTGTGAGAAATCAGTTGTACACTAATGCCCATTGACCACTTACGTGTTTCAGAGACTATAAGAAATAGGGGAGATTTGTTATAACTGTTTTCTAAGTTATTATGGCTGAACATTTCAGTTGCGTTGTGACTGAAGTCTGAAAGAACAAAACCCCAACCCCCTCAAACTCTAGTATGGTTCCCCAGTCAAGTATTTAGTTTTCATTGAAGATGAAGGAACAAGTGGCTCAGCTGGCTTTAACTTCAATCCTCTCATCACCTGTTCTTCATCCTATTTTTATGGGAATAAAACACCCCATAATTTTTAGATGATTGGGCAATACATTTCAACCAAGTCCATCCTCAAAGCATGCTTCCAGAGCCCTCGCCATCAAGTATATCCCTGCTGGGAGGTGATGTGCACACAAACCCTTGTTTTCTATACCCTAGTGTTTGCTCACAACTCCTGTCTTTCAGATTTAAGTCTCTACAGCAGAATTTGTAGATACTTACGTGCTTCCTTAAATTATCCTGACTCAGCAGAGGCTGCAGATGCAGTCATCAAATCTATTATGGAAGGATGCCTTGCATCTCAAAAGAGCTGTGCTCGCAGAGTGCTTGGCTGACTAAGCCACTCACCATCCCATTCAGAGACCTATTTCATTTCCTGATTATTGGTACCAGAATAAGCACCTAACAACACTGTATTACAGGAAAGCTTTTCCTACAGAGCACACTTAAGAACCCTAGGTGGTCACTCACGAAGCAAACCAGCAATACCAGTGTATTACGTTAACCTCTTTCATACACACCAATATTTAACTCCCCAGTTCACCATCTCAGGCTACGTATTTCTAGTACAAACAGCTCATTCTGAGAAACTGGCAATCTCAGTCACATTTCCCCAGCTGGGATGAGCATGCAGGAGATGTGCAATGAGCTCCTCCTTGTGAGAGGCTTCAGCTCTGTCCCTCCCCATCCTTAGTCCTTGAACATCTCCTGTTACTTTGCCACTTGCACTCCTCTTTGCTGTCATTAGTGATGGCTGCTAAAGCTGCACTGCCAGCAGCCACATCAACTGCTGGCAACCTGCCCTACCAATTACATGCCCTTCAAAGGCAACACAACAGGCAGCACAAAAGACAAGCTTCATCCCCCCTCCATTACCATTTGGAGGGGAAAGAGGTTCATATTTAAGTCTCAGCACAGAACCTCCAACTTCTTTCTTTCCTTTATCCTCATTTCCTAGTCCTCCAGTGATCAGGATCCTCTGGGTACCATTTCCTGCTCCCTGCACACAGGGATGCAAGTAAATTCTGCCATTTTATTCTTCCAGAAGAGCACAGAGAAAATAACTGAAGTCAACATAAGCATGAAAATTTTGCATCTTTGCATTTGGAAACTGAGATTTGCATAGTCAGAACATTTGTTTTGAGACATCTGAGAGCAGAGTATGCTATTTCAGTCACAATCAACATATCTGTGATAAATATGACAAAAACCTGTCACTTTGTTCCACACTTTTCCCCCTTGAGCTTGCTGCCATGCCTAAAAATCTAGAAAAATCCCATTATTTGCAAATTTCTGTGTACAGCTGTTACCTTAACTGCACACCACAGCTAATGCATGTTTCCTTAATAAATCTGCAAAGAATGAGTCTTCTAAAAGGGACCTTCCAAAACCCCCTGAACTGAAGAAGCTTTCTGACTGAAGTTGCTTCTTGCAAGCATTCTGAAGTCTAATGAATTCTCACTGAAAGAAGACCAGGTAAGGAGGCTGGCCAGGTTAGAAGCATCTTCACTGTGATCAAAGAGAAAGGTGAACTGCCTTATATCATCCTAAAAAGTCATCACAAAACAACTATGTTTTTAAAAAGGGGTTTTTGGCAAAAACAGAAAGAGACCTAAGTCCTCTTGACCTCCTTGAATGGCAGAGTAATGAAGAGCAGGATGAGAACTCGGTCACATCCTCCAACAGCACTATAAAAGTGTGTTCTCAGCTTTACATGTTGTCCTCTCAAGAAAGTGTGAGCTGAGAGGTGTGAGGTGTCCTGCCCATGGCAGGGGGTTGGAACTAGATGATCTTAAGGTCCTTTGCAACCCTAACTATTCTATGATTCCATAAACATCCTACTGCATCAGCCCAATGAGGAGACACTACTGGATCTCATTCAGACCTTCCTACAAGGGAAGGCAGCAAAGGATGCCCAAGAATAGAGAGAGGTGGTTAAGTACTGACTGACCACTATGACCAACAGAACAACAGAGCAACAGGTAAGAGGTGATCCTCTCAAGACTATCTTCAGAGCAACAATCGCCTGTTAAAGCTAGAATAAGCCTAAGCTCAGGTATTTTTGTGTTTTCCTCATCGCTGTGACTCAATTCTCACCACATATCTGAAGGAAAGTGGTGACACAGTAAGCCTGGAAGTATGCTGGAAAGTTTTCTGTGTATTATTTGTAAATAGGTATTTAAATATATATATATTACTTGTATATATGTGCATGTGTATGTGTACCTACACACACCCTGCCCCATTATGGCTGTTACCCACCTATACTATAGTAGATTCCAGTATAAACACGGCTTACACTATACCACTGAATAAAGTCACGAAGCAAAGATCTTCAAAGATACTCAATAGCAGTAAGCTTTGACTATCAGAAGTAGTCAAATATTATAAAAAGCCCAAAACTACAGAAGAAAAAACTGGATCATCCTGCTCCTGCTCCCCCCTCTTTTTTATTATGTTTAAGTATCTCAGCAAGTTCAGGATCACTTCCAGTATTTTATGCTTTGGACAACCAAGAGTTTAACAGAATTGAGACTTGTCAAATAAGCAAGCAATAAGCAAGGATCTTTCACACCCTTGAATACTTCAGTACTTTTACATTCTTAAAAATATTACACACTGCCTGGGAAGAATAAATCCCAGCGCATATAGCAAGAAAACTTCAGAGAATTCCCTACATGGATTCTTCATTTGAAACTGCAGCAAAGGAAGTGGCAGAACACTGCTTACATTTTACACTGTCCACTCACTGAAAATCAGACTCTCTGGAATAAAGCACACAGAATGTTTGCTGTCAGTATTATCAGATCCTTACAGTGTTTAAAACCTCTCCAAGACTTTTCCAAGTTTAACTCTCTCAGGCCAGACTAAAAGGCGTACCAGTTCCAACCCTCTTTTCCTGAGGCTTCCGCAGTGATCTCACTGCGTGGTTCTTGGTTTGTCCTCTATGAGAATGTCTGTGACTGTTTAATGCACTTACAGGAGCTGAAGCTCTTCTCCTTTCTACTTTATCACCTCTATATTGGGTACTCCTTAGGGCTATGTGTAGAGGAGCATCTACAAAGCTAATAAAGACCAAGTCCAAGCTTTGAACACTTTCAAGATGCCAGTCTACTTCACCAGCAGTAGCTCCCACAGTCCATGTGGAAGCGTTTCTGAGCAGATGCACTGCTCCACTTGCAATCCAAACCTGATGTAAAGGCTAAAACTTGTACTGCTTTTGTTGGTTTGGGATTTTTTCCACAAAAAGAAACAGAGGATGCAAATGCATTCCACAAAGCTCTGCTCTTCCAGGTACACTGCAGCCTTGAAGAGAGATGGAAAAGAAACAGTTCAGTTCACCAGAGATACGGGACAGGCAATTTTGTTATCAGGCTCTTTAAGAGAAAAGAAGCCCTGCTGATTTAATTCGAGGAATCAAAGCCTGTTCTCAAAGGCATGCTTTGTAATGAGACACGCAGAAGCGGTATAAAGCTCTGCACATCTAAGGAAGAGCAGCTTTAAAATCCATACCACTGAAACAAGCAAGAATTCAGAATCACTACCTAAAATTCATAAACTCACAAGATACAAACATGGCTTAGGCTGAGATTCCACTTACTTTAAGTCAAGTCAAACAGTTCCTGTTGCCTAACTACGGCTAGCAACTCCTACTGACAGACTCCTGGACATGGGAAAGGTGAAGCTGACAAAAGCTAAGGCTGCATGGCATTCAGGACAGCCAAGCTAAAGGAGACAAACACACTGCCACTCTGGAGTGTGACATAAAGCATTCTGGTCAAGGAGAAGGTGCTCCACTCCCCTGATCATCCTTGTGCCCTCCTCTGCACTTGTTCCAACAGTTCCATGTCTTTTTTATTTAAAATATGGGTCTATTTTTGTAGGGCTTCTTGCTAACAGGATTTGCTCCTCTGAGAACTTCCATGACTCGTGGGTTGCACAAGGCAGCATCAGTTCAGACAGACAGAACTTCTTCCCATGGTACATGATAGCTGAAAATTCAGATTAACATACTGCATAGGCTGTTTGGGAACCCCAGTGTCCTAATAAACCTTCTGAAATGTAAACTGTTTGCAGTAGTACAGGGTGAGAAGTCAGGTAAAGAAGCCTTTCTCAGGTTTTCCTGATAATCTACCATTGTGCATAGTTCCAAAACTATTTACAGAACATTACCGCAGGGAACCCCCAAATTACAGTACAAAAACCAGACAAGCTTCATTTAGGCCTCTTAGCTTCCCCTTCTCCCAGTTTCATGAATTAGCATCCGAGGAACCCCACAACCACCTTGAGCTCACCAGTCTTTCAAAGAGCCCAGGCTTCTTGTAGGCTGAGATCTGTAGATGCACACTCTTGGTAGAACAAAACCACATTTTGTGTCCATAAGGGTTTTTTAGCTTGGCAAGCCTGGGTTTTAAGGAGATTTTTGCCAAGAGTATGTCGTATCTTTTAAGACCCTGCAGTTCAGAAGATAATGCAGCCTTCACAGGAAGCAGAGACTGAATTCCCTAGTGCTGTGAATGAGGCAATATTCACCATCCACAGCTGTGAGATCATTCACTGAGAATATCCACTGGCATTTTTAAGACTGAAAGACCACACATCATCCTGACTTACAGCTGAAGCGTTCCACACAGCCATCCTCCACAAACTAAACGCAGTCTTCTCAAGATAAGCTACAAAGCCCATCAGTAACCCTGCAAACACCGCGGGTGTTAACACAGAGCTTCCCCTACTCCAGTGAGACACTCTGTTCGGAGGTCACCCATGCACATTCCAAGCCCAGCAGAGGCATCCCTCAGCCAATATTAAGAGGAAACAGGGAATCCCTCAAAGGATCACCCTGCAAACCGCTAACACACATGTCAGAGGTTCACAGTTAACAGCTATCAGCTGACAACTGGACATCTTAGATGTTTAACCTGCAAGTTTACCAGCCTGCTTCCCATACAAGCACAGGTACGATCTCATCAGTAACACCAAGACAAAGATCCCTTTATTCTTTAAGAGTATTCCTGGCATTAAGACACTTACACATTAACATGGCATACTGTGACCAACTTTGAGTAGGGAGAACTTTTATCAATGAGGTCATATACAGAAATGTAAGCCCCACTGACAGAATCAGTTTTGTTTTTCTTTACTTCTCTTTTAAGGACTCCTCAGTAAAACAGATTTTCTACAGTCTCTGAACTACAAACCACAGGTCTGTTGCTTTCTCTTCTCCCTCATGAAAAGAACAATAGAGCCAAGTCTGGCAGCAGCTTGCCAGGCTGAGGCTGTCATTCTATACCTACATACCCCAACTGCAGCCTAATACCACAGCACTTTTAAAGCCTCAAAACTAGCCCTACTACATGGTTATAATGTCTCCCCAGAGCCTCCTCTTGCCCAGGCTGAAGCCTGGCATAAGTTGCCTTTCAGATTGCAGAAGAACTGTACATCCATCTTTGTTCCTATGTGCTGAAATTCTGATTTTAAGCACTACAAGAAAAAGGTTTTGCTACTGTTCTGAATATTATCACATCATCTCCTAATTACAGTAATTACAGCCACTACTTCAGGAACAGTAAGTATTTTCACTTTAAATCTAGCCAACAGTCCACCTCCACCATTTATTTATTTCATGTGTAGCAGAAACAGTAAGGAGCTACAGAACACCAAAATGAAACTTTTGAGATAAGGCCTTAAGCATGATAAAGCTTCTAAATAAGACTATCTCCAGGCTTATGGAATAAAAAGACTCATCATTTCTAGAGTTTTACCTGTTAGAAACTGCCACCTTTTCTTAAGCACTGCATAACTTATCTAATATAATGAAATACAAGAAAGGGAAATTTGTACCAAACGGTTAAATGACTTAAATATATTCACTTTGAGCAGAAGAATCTTTGCTCACAAAGACTGTAAAGATGTACCATGCTTAATGATGTATTCAAAAACCTCCACTCTCACCAGGCAATACATCTGAAAAGCCTTTTTAACAAGTGACATGTAGAAAGCCTTGCTCAGCAGGCTGTCTTCCTATACACAGATGCCATTAAGAACAGAAGAGATGGCTGCAAAAGGACAGGAGAACAGAACACAAAATACAACAGCCTGACCTTATAAACCCCATTAGCTCTACTTTAGAATGTGCAGTACCTCCACAACACCATTTAGAGGAATTGAGAACATACTGAGTTAAACCCTAAATAGCATTCAGTATCAGACATATGACTGATATATAATGACATTACTCTTCCTTGATGAAGAACAGCTTACTGAAGTTCCAGTAGCAGGCTCTGACAGTAAAAGAGACTTGAGAACTTTACGGTCCACCTTCCACCTTGACACACTGTTTAATAGCCAGCACAACCCAAGGACTACGTACAAGGATATGCTTTACATCATCAAAACAATCCAGGTTAAACGTGTCTACCACAAGTAGGGAATGAAAGGAGTGGGTGCGTAGAATAAGGTTACAACTCAACACCATCAAGAATTACCTGCCAGTGCAGCCAAAATGATTACATCAAACCAGTGTGCACTTGAGGGAATGGATAAATGAAAGGCTCAAGACCTTGAGTGACTCGTCAGTTCATTCAAGACAATCACAGAACAACTTCTCAAACCAAAATAACTATGCAGTGACACAGAGCAGAAGTCTATGGAAAAGCCCAACATGCAAGCAGCCCATTCTGATCACTGTGCAGTTGTTAGCAGCCATTCCCCAAAGCAGTCATTTCACATGTGTTTGTCAGAGCAGCACTTCAGTTTCATCTAAGCTGCATGCAAAGCATAATACACACAAGCTGGCACATCCTAACGCATGTGAAGAACCATCTTCCTCTACCTACTCAAATCTTACGCCTTTGCCTTACTGAGGTTACAGATGTAGTTGGGGTCTAGATGTTTACGTGCAGTAGTAGTGTATTAAGTCATCTTGTTAGGAACAGGCAGTAGCATCTCAAATGAGAACACATTTGCTGGACACATCAGGAAAAGCAGACACGACACAAAGCAAAGCCAGACACATTCTGCTGTAGTGACCAGTAGCACGGTGAACTTGCAAGACTTTGAAATTCTCAAACAGAATATTAATGAAACACCAAAAGCAAAGACAAAACACACCAGGGCAAAGAGGCTGAGCAAAGAGGCAGCTGGGTTTGATAAAACAGGCTCAATCAGAAGACAAGAGAGGACAATTTTTATGGACCTGCAGTACAAAGACAAGTCAATCCACAAGAACAAAGTCTAGAAGGTTATCAGCACCACCCTGCAGCTCAAAACTAGACCTGCACTGCCACTCTGATGTTACACAGGACACCAGGAAGAAAAGCACTTCGGAGAATGAGACGTTGAAACAGAAGTTAGCGTGATTCCCAAACACTGCAAAGCAGTTAGATCTTAAGCACTGATTTTTTCCCTAGCATTAAGTTTTTATCCATTTCCACCACCCATGAGTTGTGTGAGGATCTTTTTCAGGTACAGCTGTAGCAGTTACATTTGTTTAACACTAGGACCTTCTTCCCCCACAGCTCTAGCAATGAAAAGGGTAAATACTGCAGAAACTGGTAGTGGGTTTCTAGTCAAGTATACTCTTCAAGTCAGACCGTGAAATGTAAAGGTTAAGTGAGAAATAGGAGAGAACTGGAGTTACTCAGGTCACTTCCTTAATAACAGAAAGGTGAGTTGTTACAAAGGAATAAGAGAAGCTGCATAGTTGCGTCATTACAGAACATAAGCTGTATTTCTAAATGAGGGAACTTCTTCAGCTTTATCTATTCTAAAACATGTTTACAGGTTTCATGCTGCTTCTCCACAAAGATGCTAAGATGTAGCCCTAAAGAGACTCCTTCAGCCCCAAATTTCTGCTCTTTCCTGCTTGTCCTGCCTTCTGCTGCTGTTTGAAAAAAGGAAGAGATCAGCAACATACTTACACAGTGAACCAGCCGTGCTCCGTCCTCTTTTTGACCTTTCTTGATTAGCTTTTTCAGAAGCCAAAGAAGCTCTGGTTTGAATATTTCTTTTTACAGGGTTCTGCTGTGATTCTGCAGCCTTCTCCACTCCATGAAAGTATTTCATGTGATAATGCAATAACTTGGCTTTGCGGAAGGATTTTGAACAGTCCAAGAACTTGCATCTAAACTTGTGATCTTGATCAAGAGTTGCAGGTTTTTTTGATGCAAGAAAATCTGTTCTCCTACAAGGTTTTGTTACTGTAAGAACAAAACAGATAAATTCCCCCATGCATTTGCTATATTTATCAAATGGTTTCCTAAACTTAAAACAACGAAGAAAAAAAAAAAAGGTTAAGAAATGGGCATGCATTAAAACATGTTAGCCACAAAATGCTAAAAATGAAGTTTTAATGCTGTATCTGCCTTTAAGCTCAATAGCTTTGAAGGGAAAACTCTGCCCTACTGTGCTCTTAAAAACTGTTATAACAGCAGTGCTTTTATCAATGAGTTACTGGTAGAAAATGGTACTCTGCTTCCAAGAGTCCCTTGCCCACCTACTAATGTCACTGTAATATAGTGCTAACACAGATATGAAACTGAATTACACAGAGGCTGTGCCTTTAGTCAGAATGCTGAAGGTTATGTCCTATCAATCATTTATTTAACTGTTTATAACCGCTCACATCTTTGGTGAAAGCGTGTTCCAAGGAAAACAGCTCTGTCCCTTTGTTCCCAAGTATTCTGCTATTTGCTTTCCTTCTCCTACCACCAAACTCTGGTTACTCCCAAGAACAACGGAAGCAGTACGTCACAACTGCATCTCTCAAGGAAAACTGAGGTTTATTTCAATTTTCAAGCAGCAACTGAAGACTGAAACTGAGGAATAGGAAAATTGCCTGCATCTGTTCCAAAATGTCCCCCATGAGCTACAGCTGGTTTCTCAAAAAAGCAGCAAACTGAAGAACACTTTCAGGTGCCTGGTGTACCGAGCACTGCTGTACAAGCCAGGCCCGTACCTAAACGTGACCTGGTGAAATCTTACTTCTTTTCCAGCACTTCAGAAACTTTTCATTCATGCTTTTGCCAAGAAATACATAAAAAACCCCACTTTGAACTACATCAGATTACTGTCACCAGTATCTGGGCCTAATACAACAGAGTAGAGGTAGCTTTTTGGAAACACACAAATATACAGAGATCCAGGCAACCATCCATCACTAATACACACAGCATCAAAGAATCCCTCACCAACTACAGACAATGGAAAGGAGGTGTCAGTTCTTACAAAACAGCTTTCAAGTACAAGTTTTCCATTTGTTTTGCCCGTACTCAAATATTATTTCCATATTGACAAGCATTTTCAAGCTTTGAGGATTTTAAAGCTAAAACCCAAACTGAGCAACAGTGATGCAAAACTGAAGGTATGTGGCACATGAATTAAGACATTCTATCAGAAACATGTGCAAAGAAGGAACACAAAAGGACCCAGAAACATCACAAACAAGAGTAAGTGAAGAGGAAGACTTTTCACAAGTGTACATATGCAGGAATGCATTGAATGGGAATGCTAAAGGTAATGTCAACACGATCTTGGTGTTAAGAATAGCACAGCTTGGTCAGAAGTTTTCAGCACGCAGCAACAAAAGTGGTGTTACTGAGCTGCATACTTAAAGGTTAAATCACAGGGAAGAGGAGCATCCTAGACAGCGGTATCTGAAGCACACTCAGCTTTTAAGTACTGTGTTATGACAACGAAACAACACTTGAAGTCATTCCTAGAGAAAAAACAAGCAATGGTACTGTGGAGGCTGATGTACAGGGAAGGATTAACAAGTCATATGCACAGACTGGGTAAAAAAGAACATTCAGTTAATTTTGAGAAGGAAACAGTAAAAATGAAGACGCTGCTCTTGGGTGCTTCACAAAGGTAACAACAAGGTGAAAGACATTTTGGCATAGCCATATTAAGAACATGCTGACAGGGATGCTGCCTCAAGCAATTATGGTAAAAGACTGCAACAAAGCCAGACAACAGGACCACATTTGCTGAATGACAAAGTTTGCCAATACCACCAAAAGTTGCATTTATGAAGAATGAGAAAGTGTTTCAGGAATGGTCAAGTGAAGTGGCCCAGGGGTTTAGTGAAGGTAATTGCGGAAGGTTCTCCTGCCCATAAAGCTTAAAACCAGGATTCAGGACAGTGAGAGAGAACTTGTTTCTAGTTAATAACTAACATGAAGACTGGAAAAGACTGGAAAACTTCACTGCAACAGAATTGAGTAATGGGGTCCAAAGACCTTTTAGCCAAAAAATATGACAAAGATGACAAGGAAACCCATTACAGCATCACACAACTATTGTGAGACCCTGTATCCAAGCTCGGAACAAGTCCCCTCCATTGAGATGGACGAATTCCAGAGAAGATACAGGGAATGGCTTCTAACTGATAAGCTGCAAGCTAGAAGAAGAGCACAAGATCACCTTAGCTGAAGTTTAGAAACAGAGGTAACAATATATGGGGTAGAGGGAAGCAAAGCAGACAAAAGCTTATTGCAACACACAAAAGCATCTATTCAGAGTAACAAGAACACAATCCCCCAGTCTGAAGCAAAGCTTTAGTTATTACCATCACCACACATTTGGGGGCATCTTCCTCCTTTACAACCCTCACAGCAGGAAGCTCCAAGGGGAGGCTCTGAAGAGCCTGTGCTCCCAGCCCATGCTCTGAGGCCAACTCACTACACCAACATCCAAAGGGGGGAACTTCCACCCCTGCACATGTACATAATTTCTGCTCACAACACATGGTACTAAAACTGTTTTCTATGGGGAGAACATTCCGCTGTATTAGCTTCAGATTTTCAGTCACTTGCCTTTCCAGAGGAGCTTGGTGGGTGTTTTCTCTGAGTATGAAGTTAATGATAGACCTACCACCTCTTCTTTCTTCCATGTTTATAACCCAAATGAAAACTCCTCACTTGGCATTCAATTAGGCATTACAATATTAAGTACAGAGACTCAAGGTCAAACAAGCATCAAAGGAGAAAAACACCCCATCTCTTCTGTGTTCAAAGAAGCCTCTTCCTTCTCATCGTGCTGTACTAGCAAGGTTTGAGCTACAACCACGTCAAGCAGTAAGCTTACAGCAAAACGTCCCCATGTGAAGCTTCAGAATCCACAAGGGACTTCCACACACAGACAAGCTCAACTTAAGTTAGAAACCAGATGTCCTTACAGGAGGCATTTTTTCATGGTATTTGATCACTAACCCCAAAGCTCTGTGATCACACACAAGTAAAATCATCCTTATTTTTGAGAATATTCCATGATGACTTCTGGATTATTTTACAAAGGCAATGGCAACAGATGCTTTCTTAACACAGCATTAACTGCTCAGAAGAACATCTGCGATCGTTAACACAGTTTTTCTATGCTGTTAATACAGCGTGTTCGCTCAGAAAACCCAAGATTTACCATTCCCCACATTCTCAGACCTTATGGAAGCTGTGCTTTGCCAATCTGCAGCTCAATGAGTACCTTCAAAAATCTGCTGGAATTTACAAAACAAAAGGCTAAATGCCTTCAACTCGAACAACCTCGCTTTAAGGAATGCAGTGAGTTTATCATGCAAGGTCACTGAAGTTTTGTATCATGCTGGTTTTCTCCATAAAGCATACCCAAAAGGTGGCTCTTCCCCGCAGTGGAGAGCTTTGCCATTCCTTCTCTTCTATTACATAGCTTGCCTGAAAAGGGAGTATTTTCAGACACACTCAATATTCTTTCAGTTTTCATAACTGCTACAATTCTCCTGCATCTCTTTATAAGAGTTGTGTCTAAGGTGCAAGTCCTGCACAGTTCACCTCAAAGCAGTTCAGTTCACTGCACCTGTTTGGAGCCAGACCTGTACCTGCACACCTCACATGCCGACAGCTTGAGTCACAACAGCCACCACTCTTTCTGCTTGCCTGAAGCACAAGATTCCAACAGAGTCAAGAATCATGTACTTAGAGCTAACACAGAGAGTAATGGCATTTCCTTGGTACTGGGAGAGTTAACGTTCTGCTCAGGAATAACCACCCAACAGTGGTTTTGCCTTCATGAGCCAAAACAAGCTACAGCCCATCAGTTAAAAAAGGTAAACCCAGAATTACTTTACAGGCTGAGAAGGACACAGCAGCATGACTAGCAAAAAGCTACTGCAGCCACTCTGTATCTTCTGAACTCACTGCCAGAACACAGGGAAGGACAGGCATGGCCCCAACACACACCAACTGAAAAAGCTCTGAACATACCATAGTTAAAATACAGGAAGATATTTAATCAGCCTGCTTAGGAAGGACAGGCAAGATCAACATAGCTCCAAGCTGTAAATATGAGAAGACCATTCCATCCAACCTAAGCAAAGGAGAACAGGCAAATTCCCTCCTGCACAGAAGGTATACATCAACGGCAAAAAGAAAGAGGGTGTTTTATTTGTACAACTACATGAGAGTGGGTGAAAGCACGTGCAAGCAGGAGGGCAAATTTGGAATAACCAAACAACATGACGACAGCCAGCACACACAGGTTAGCAATGCTGAGCAACTGTAAACCCCTCTAAATGTGCTGCTCCACTTAAAACTAAGCTTCTTTGATAAAGCATAAACCAGGGAGTTTGTAGTTCAGGTTTCCCCAGTTAGCTGCAGATACAAGTATTGAAGTTACAAGAAATAATCACAGGACAGCACTATGTTTTCACATCGTTACTATCTTGTATATGGAATTTCAATTTGAAAAAGCACGGTAAGTACACACCTCAGCTAAGGGAAGCCAGAATTATATACATTACTAAGTCAGATACTGCAGTGATTGAACCATTCCACAAATTTGCACTAAAACCTCTGAACAGTCTAAGGCTAAGTATAACAGAAGCCAAAACATGAGGATATAGAAATACACAATCAGGATTACCAAACATTAATGTTTCCACATACGTGCAGCACAGAAATGAGAGAAGAACCTGCTCTTTTAAGATGTTAGTCCAACTTAATCCAGAATGCCAAACATTGAATTATAACCTGAAAACAAGCACTTGTTTATTTCATCATTCACATGCTAAAAATATTCCACCCAGTCATTTAAAAATTAAGATTTCTATTTTTTGAAAGATCACTGTCAAACTGCAGAGCAGAAGATCAAAACTGAGACCATAGGGAAGAAAAATAAGCATTTTCCCCCACGGTTACCATCACAGTAACACACGTTTTTGTTAGTGACACTTGTACAAGCACAGAACACCTGGCAGCAGCTGCCTTAAGAAATGCATCAATATTAAATATAAAAGCAAAATTTGAACCTGGAGCAGCAGAAGGTTCTTGAGTTACAGTTACAGAGGAAGACTCGGTGTCTTCAACCTTCTCTTCCTGTAAACTGGCATCTGTGCTGGGTGCTGTGGTATGTGATGTGTTTCCAGGAGATCCTTGTTCACTGAAACTTTGGTCGGATTCAACAGGAATTTCTAACTGGACTAGAATGGAAGAGAAACATTTCACTGAGTAAAACACACCCAAAGGCATATTAGGGAACACTGATGTATGTGCTCATCACATTACAGTGGAGACAAACAGGCATCCATGCTTAGATGCTTGCTGTTGTATTAACGTAAGTTTTTAACAGCACAGCTACTTGCAGCAACCCTCTAAGTTTAGAGCTCCTTAGAAACACACAGGCTAACTCTTGATGGCCCAAAATGGGACAGGTCTCCCCAAACCATTATCAGAGCTCCCCCTGAAAGGGAAAGGCAGTGAAGCACTAGGCATCTCTGCCCAGTCTAAGAATAAAAGCATCCTGTTTGAGGTTGAACAAGAGGATTAAACTGTAAGCTTAGCATTTGGGTTACCGCTTCAATCTCAAAGTGTGAAAACTTTGTAATTACCTCATTTTCACAAGCATAACCCACGTCCTTAAAAAAAACCCCAAAACCACCACCACCAAACAAATTACCACATTTCCTTTAAGTTATTTTACAGCCTATGGAGCTCTCCTTTTGCAAGGCCAGTTATCCCTCTACTGGAAGAGCTCCCACCATGCAAGGGGAATACTAGGGTTACTGATGGGAGAAGGAATCAAAAGCAAAAGGCAATCAGGGCTGCACAGAAAGATATAAACTTGAGTTTTCTCTGCACTGCTGATGTAACCAGGTTTCAGTTGCAGCTAAAGAGCCTGCAGGATACAGAAGTAAGAATACCATGCTCGCAACTAGATGACTGCCACCAGAGTGTACCAGGAAGCTGCTTACCCTTCTCAGGCTCCTTTTGGTCAGATACTGCATCTTTCCAAGGCTGAATTTCTGTTGAAGTTGTGACATGATCTGTATTTAAAATCTCTTGGCTAATACCAGACGAGAGTCTTGAAGATCGTCTCCTGATCTGGTCTTTTTCAGGGTTATCTGAAGAGCTCTTCAATTTATCCTGAGCTGAAACAGACAAATGTAATGGGACCATGCAGTTACAGGATTACTAAATAGCTCACAAGCAAACTTTAAAGATCTTCCAGTGGCAGTTTGAAAACGTTATTTAAGGACTGAGGATAACAGCAAAGTTACACAGCGCTGGTGATTAGACTACAATCTATGATCACAGATTGTAGATTATAGATTATGTAGCTATGATTAGCTACAATCATATTAACAGTTATGTTACAGGTTCCTCAACTTTTCTTTTAGAAACAGATCTGAAGTAAGAATGCAGATCAATACCTTACTGGTAAAACATTGTTTTAAACAGCAACTGTCCCACTGACAGAAGTAAAACCAGAAATTAGATGGGACAATTCAGACACAAATCAACTTTGACTCTATGCACACTGAAGTTTTAACATCTGTGGACCTAAGGAAGGAAAAGACAGCCTTCCTCAGATCTTCACCACTAATACAATTGTCTTTCCTCATCAACACACTCAAGTTCAACATCACTACGCGGTATACCAAGATAAAGTAAAAGCTATTAGACAGCACTTATGTGGAAATTTACCTAACATTAAGGTTTCTTTGCTAAGCAATGTGGCAAACCCTCCATCTAGTAATTAAAGTTTCTATAACTAGAAAAAGGCTTTTATAATCTTCTACGTATTGCAATGTAATCGCTGCTTCTCTTTCTGCATCAAAACTCACAGCTTGTGGCTCCTTTATACAAACTCAGCTTCCAAAACTTAGGAGGAAATTCGGGCACAATGCTGCTGCATACAAATGACCAATGGAAGAAGAACAGGTGATGCATTTCAGCCATTGCATGTATCACAGATCAAGGTCAGTACTACAGACTTTTTCCCACTTGTACATACAAATACTGTGAGAGCTGAACACCAAAAAATACTCACACAAATTCTTTTCAATCCTGGGGCGCTTTGAGGGAATTTCACCTCCTTTAGGTATTTTCCGACGTCTTAACTCCAAAGTGATGGGCTGCAGCGTCTGAGAACTTTGCTCTACATGTTCAGATAGAGAACAAAAATTGACTGGATGTGAAGCTTACAATACTGGACTTGCATAAAGAGTTTCACCTGGCTTTCCAAAGTCTACACATTAGCATTTAATCCTACTGTAGACATGGTTTATAACATATGAAGATTATTTGTCTAAATTCAATCTCTGACCAAACCACTGAAGCTCCAAACCTGCCTGATAAGGATGCTCTCAGCTGTCCTAACCAAGCCTGAACAAAGATGAGTTTAAACATTTCTGCAAGTTTCTAGAGACTGAGGCTGTGAAAGAGCAAGACACTTCTCGTTCCTTTAGGTAAGTTTACAAGGGTTCTGATATAAGGCCTAAACTTTTATGTTTAGATACATACCCGTTGGAGGAGTTACTGGCGGTCTTCCACGTTTTCGTTTAGTTTCTTTCACGTTTTCTTGTGGACTCTTTATGTTGTCATTCTCTGGCTTCTTCTCAATTTGTGTATCTATTGAATATTCCATATCATTCTCTGATATATTCTCCTTATCTTCTTTTCCATTCTTAGATATATTCTTTTCCGAGACCTTGCCTTTTTCTGAAATGCCTATCAATTTTCCTTCTTTATCAGGTTGCTTAACTCTTTTCTCAGTCTTTAATGTCTTTTCATCCTTGTCTTTCTTTGCATTACCTGTTGCTTTCCTCTGTTCTTTAAATTTCTCCTGCTTTTCAGGAGATGATGGAATTTCATTACCTCTTTCCTTCGGCTTAGCATTACCCACAATATTCTAGAATAAAGAGAACAACATATGAAAATTAACTTACTGCAATCTCAGAGTCCTCCCTCACCCCTGCATTTAGCAGGCTCGCATCCTTGTCCAAGTTTTCACAGGACAAAATTTATTGTAAACCACAGATTAAAATACAGGGGCACTTGAACTGTTCAAGGACCCATGCAGCTTTCACAGGACACTGCAAGAGATTCAGATTCTGTCTTTTCACAACTCAATGGCAAAGAGATTTGCTGTTTCTTTGTTGTCATGTGCCTCAGGTTTCATCGGTTGTGCTGCTCACAGAACCATCCCATTTGAAGCATGTATGTGGTACTGGAACACTCAAGAACCATCTCAATCAAATTATTCTCAAGAAACTAAACCACAAATACAGTATGTCTGAATTGTCTCTTGAACTGTCTCTTGATACTCCTGAACTCTTAAAAGCTGTGTGTCCTTGTGTAAGCACATTCACAGTGCAAGTCATTGGCATTTACCATGACTATTCAATATAGTATGTTACACCCTCTACACAGGAACAGAGAAACACTGACATTAAAGAACAACCAGCTTATACTGCTGCCTTCGGAAATCAGGTGGCTCTCTCCTACTGATGAACAGGAACAAGACACTTTCCATTCCCTGCCAGCATGCTGCTGTATCTGTACTGTACCTGAATCCACACCTTAAGTAACTTACCACTGAATCTTGAGCTCTGCAGCGGCTCAAGTATTTTTAAGCTTTATTTCTGATTGTGTAACCAGAGCTCACTAGGAAATTCTCTCTTTATGTTTTTTATGCTGAAGGAGAGAACAAAATGTTTTAACTTAAAACTTTATCTCTTGAGTTAAGAGAAATCTTCCCAGTTGTTAAATGAAGAAAACAAAGTCCTTTCATGGCCTACCCAAAGCTATGCAGAAACAAGAGACTCCCTAAAGGAGAGAGGAAAGACAAAATATTTTGCCTTTCTTATACACAATATTTCTTAAGATTCTTCAACTTCATGCAGTTAAGGTTAAATATGGCAGAATTATTTCTCAACCAGGCACAATATTCAATTCAACTCTGAATATTCCAGTAGCAAACACACAATACTTACCTGATCTTTGGAAATAGCTTTGACATGAATGTTTTTGACAGTCTGAACTACACCATCATAAAACTTCACAGTGTATGTACCTAAAATTGGAAAACAAGAGCTTGAAGGTCTGAAGTTACTTAACAGAGTATTTGCTAACAGCTCCAATACTCTAGCTGTATCTTTAGTTATAGATAAAAGCTGCCTTATCTGTGTTGTTAGAAACTTCAGCAGCAGAGGTCTTATCACAGGCCAGGTAAGGGCAAAAGTGACATTACCAAAACCCAATTCTGGTAAGCATAAAGATGCATGTCTAAACTTAACATTGCTCCTTTGATATACCTGCCTCACGAATAGCTTTGGGGGAATACTCCGACAGATAATTACACAGATAATTTTTCTTCTTAATCTTAGAATATACAATCTAAAGAAAGCACAGCACAAGTTCTTCATGATTCCTTAAAAAAGAAGGATGAGGAGAAGCATAGCTGTGCTGGTTTTTCCATTCATAAACGGGTTTTGCAGCTCTGACACCAGTTTTACTGCAATTGCATGTCTTTCTTTGACAATAAACTCCAGAAGAAACAGCTTTTCCCAAATATACTTAAAGCAATTACTGACCCAGCAGAAAGTTCTTTTATGTCATAAAACGAATGAGAGGTTAGGTTAAAAAAAACTTCACAGCAGTTTTCTGTGTGCTGTGTTCTCTCCACCTTCACAAAAGGTTAGAATACAATCAGAAATGCATTACTAACAAGCATGACGAAACAAGAAGTGACTCCTTACCATCCTTGTTAACAGAAGTAACTTTGGCTGGATAGAAGCGACAATCAGACCAGCATGCCAACACCTGATCATTTATATGAAATCCCTACAAGACAGAAGTGTTTTCATCTGAGAATTACTGAAATCTGTAACTTCATTAAAACATCTAAATTGTTTTCCAATACTCAGAATAGATCGTAACACTCACAGAGCAAGCAACAGAGCAACAGTGAAGCATTTTAATGGTCATAATTCATATAACTGCATATTAAACTGCTACACACGCAAATGTCCTCTATTTTCTACTTACTGCACAACCTTCTTCCTCCTGTAATCCTTCTTTTCTTAACTGTATTTTCTCTAAGGGACGCAAATAAGGACTGTCCCAACAAAACCATTCATCATATCTATGGTTCCAGCGTTTGAAATGGATAAGCACTTTTCCTTCTTCATAATCAATCTCTTCAATGTGAGCTGGATACCTGGTCAAAAGGTAGATTAAAATATTCCAATTAAGAATAAGGTAAGTGGCCTCAGGCACTTAACTACAGCACAAAACATTATACAGATGGAGCCTTCTGCATGATCAAAAGCAAAATGTCTGAAGATCTGCTTCATCAGGTGCTACAGGGAGCAGAGTAACTACACTTCACCTTTAGTTTCTACTGTCTTAATATTATTTGATTTATAACTTGTATAAGCAATAAAGATACTACAAAATGATTAAGCTCAGCACACAACAAATCCCAAAGTGAAGAGCCAAAGCAAATACTGGCTGCAGGAAGAGGAGTCAACAGAGTTCTTAGTCTGGGATGGAAAAAATATAACTAGAATCAGGAAAACCTCCCCTACACCTAGAAATTCCACATATTAGAAAAAAATGATAGCTCCAGCTCCCTCTTACCAAGGATAACACCTGGAATACACTCCTTTCTCTGAGACATCCATCAACAGGCACCATGAATCATCTTCCCAGTGTAACTGCAAAAGCCCAGCAGGCACACTAAAGCTCATTTAAGTTTTATAATCTCAAAGTTAAACTTCATCTGCAAAGTCCTGGGAATTTTAAATAAAATGCCTCAGTATTTCACAAACCCAGGAATCTGAGATGCTTCACATCAAGCTGTTTCTAATCAGGAAGACCTTAAAAACTCTGCATTTCTTTAATTGCATTGGTAATTTCTTGACTTCAGCAAGTATTTCAGAATCATAGCATATTTCACTATCCCAACCGAAGGTAACATCCCAGGTATTGATATTTCCCCCTCTGAAATAGTAGTGCCAGGAGAAAATCTTCTTGTCAGCGTTTTCAGTTATTTGTGGAGGAAAGGCAATGCCCCTGAAGAAAAAACCAAAACCAAACAACAAGCAAATGCACAAGTATTCTTTACCTGATAAATCACATTTAAAAGGATAGCACAAGCGGGAATAGAAAGAAATGGCATCTCAACAGGATCAAGCCTGATGCTAAAAATAAACCCCAGACATGCAGGAATTCAGATTTAAGGCAACACAGACTATCATTCTACAATCCTCCAACAATGAAAAGCCACCTAAAACTGAAATTCTTCAACCAATCTGGTGTGTCCAGTCAGGATGTGTCCAAAAAGACTACAAAGAGGCCACACCAGAGACTAATGCCTGCTTTAACACTCGCTGCCACATGCCCCAAGCTATGCCATTAGTTCATTCATATTATCAAAACACATGCAGCAAAGGCTGTGGAAGAGAGGAAGAAAATTGGGAGATACTTAGGGCAGGGACATCTCTAACTGGTTACCAGCTTCCCAGGAATAAAATAGCTTCTTTAGTGTGACAGTCAATGTATTTCACATTTAGGTAACCCCAGGGACCACCCTGCACAGGTTCACAAGGGGGGAACAGTCACAGTCTTTTTACATATAACAACATAATTCTATTATAGTATATTCTTAGCTCAGTAACTGCCTATCACAAAGTAGAGGTAATGAATGAAAGTCAATATCCAGTGCAGCACAAAGTCCTGCATGAACAGTTAAACCCATGGGACTGACAAGACAAACCTTAACAGGGTAGCACAGTGCTCCAACATACTAATCTTCTTCTCAGTACCCAAGAGCCTCAACCAGAAGTCCCTTAAAATCCATTTTAGTCACACAGAGTGAACTTGAAGAGGTGTTATTACAACAGGTAACACAAGTGCCATCATCTACTGCAGGCATCCAGTGCAGCCATGCTCTTTTCAGTAAGAGAGGATGCCTGCAGTTAGTCAGCACTGAGGAGTTCAAATGATTCAATGCAAAATCCAACTCAATTCAAGCAGGACAGCATGTGCACGTACATCATCACAGCTAGATCTCTGGGATCTCTCCATTTAGAACTGCACCACAAGAGCAGTCCCACAGCTCCATCCTCTGAACTTCACCACTCTGTACCAAACAGACCTTTCAGCATGCACAGAGGCACTGCCTGATGGCCAGAGATCTTCAGCACCCCAAGGTCAACAGACATCAACACAAGGCTTTCACAACAGCTTTGCTGCATCAACCAAGTCCTGAGAATTAAGCCAAGTACCAAAAGTACTCAGTGTACTCACTGGAGCTTGAGTCTAAGAGGCGACAAAACAACTGCACCAGGAACTGAGGTGCACTTCCAGAACAGGATAATTCCAGAGTAAACACAAATCAGTAAGAGCTCTGAAGATACAAAATTCACTTAGCCCTTTGACAAGGAGAAGACTGCACTGGCTACTCTGCTGGCATGCACGTTTCTTCTTCCTCTTCAACAGGGTTGGCATCACAATCAAACACCCTGAAGGTCCTGAACTATCATTTCAGGGTGCAAGCCACTGCTATGAAAGGCAGGTAAATGGGGCTTTGAGATTAAATACTTCCCAGAGCACTACTGCCATCTGAGAAGAGAAGCAGTACTGAGCACAGGAATGAAAGCCAGACCTTTGAGCAAACAAGAAACTTCTGCCTATGTTTAAGAGCCAACACCATAAGTACACACAAGAAAAGCCTGGACCTCTGAAGGTCTAGCACCAGAAAAAGCAAGTTCCAGCAAACAAAGTTTTGCATCCATGTAAAAGTATCACACTGGTGCCATAGTGGTCCTGCTCATACAGTGGCAGGTGAAAGGAGCAGGGGAAACGAATAAGTCACCTGTCCTCTACAAATCCACACCTGGGGAGGTGTCAGCCCATCAACACTGATATTGCTAAGAGAAAACAGAACCCCCGGCTCTTAACAGTTTTGGTTCACAAACCCTGAAAGCACACACACACACACACACACACACACACAGAGACACAGAAAACCAGCCAAGCAAACACAGACTTTCTGAACCAGGTTTCAAAAGCTTGGCATGCAAAAGAAAGCTTTCAGAATGGGAGAGTTAATAACTAAGATGCGAGATCAAGGAGTTACAATTCACTAAGGGTAAGACAGGTAATTTAAGTTCAAGTGTTTTCAAAAACCAAACAACACAGCTTGGTTTTGGACATGCAGCATATCCAAAATTCAAGTTTAAGCCAAGGAATACACAGAAAGTATAGCAGGTGCTGAATCTAGCAACGTTTTCCCATCCAAGAGCTGTATGCCCATACTTTGAGATACTGTTCTTACCCAAACATGTCAGAAGGATGATCGTCATGGACACAAGTTATTAGGCTTACTCAAACACAATCTATACTGAACTGCATCTTAACAAGCCTGCACCACAGACAGGCCAAGAAACCTCATTTTCGTAGGCATGACAGTTTGTTTTGCTGTACAAACAAAGCTCAAGAATACAAAGATACGTGCAGATTCAGACTGAAGCCCTACCTAAGGTTGGTTATGCAGGAAGGCCAACATAACATGCAAGCATGAGTTAATGCTGTACTTCACATTCTTTCCAAAAGAGCTGCTTACTTATTTTCACAATTCCAATCCCCTTGTACCTGGAAAGGGGATAAATACTCTGCATGCAATTAAGATGCTTTGGAACAAGCACACTACGTCTAAGGCAGTGCCCCATCCTTCTGGAATATCCACATGGTTTTCAACACCAATTTCTGTACACTTAACCCACCAGCAGGTTCCAGAACCTGAAGTACAATCAAGTCTAACCCATGTAGGCTCTTTAAAACCAAATTCCTGTATTTAAGAAGTCTCTGAATCCAGCAATTTTCACTGTATGCTTCATTCACTGTACATTATTCAATGCTAACTTTTGAGCTAACTTCCTACAACAATCATTTAGAAGGCTCAAAGCTAGCTCAAGTAGCTTTTAGGCCCTTTTCCCCTTCCTACTCTTCCTCACAACTGGAGTCTGCAAGACAGGCTCCAGAGCAGACGTCTCAGTGTGGAGTATGTTTCCCTACCCAATTCTTCATTCTAACTCTAACCAACCTCAAATGAGCAAAGGCCATAACAATTTCAAGCCGACTTCAAAGCCTCTGAGTTCACCACAGCAATAGGGAAGGAAGCAGCGAGGAACTACCCTGGGTGTTCTGCACTGCAAAGGATTTCTCTCTCTGTAATGTCTGCTCTGCAATCTGCGTATAGCACAGAACTTAGGGTGAATTCACAAGTACCAAAGTCAAGTCCCACTGGATTTATGAGTAGCCCTGTTTCCCAAACAGACACAGCACCAGTACGCTTCTTTTTAAGGACTAGCACATCACCATCTAGCGCCCATTACAACCACTGGTATATAAACGGTTATCAATTAACTACTTTCCTACAAACCAATGACCAGGACTCTAAATATTGTACCAATACAAAATGTTTAAGATATTAAAGACTTAGAGTTAATATAATATGAATGGTTTTAAAAAAATACCAGTTTTTTAATCTGTCACGGGCTTCCAACTGGGCTCCCACCTCAAAGTTGATCCCTCTTCTATTCGGAGGATGTTTTGTCATTTTGTAATATCAACACTGCTGATTTTATTCCCCTGAAAAATGCAATTAAATATCAATCACTAATCAAGACATACACAAAATAAGCTTAAGCACCACAATCCCCCAAAAGCTAGATGTTACGGGACCTCTGTATTTGCGATTTGCAGGAAGTAACGGGGATATTAGCTCCAACCAGGGTTCCCAAGTGACAGTGTGCAGAACCATGCCAAAAATGCATTCCAAATGGGAGCTACTGGACCGTGAAAGGTTGAAGCTCAACCTTTGTCCATTGGCCCAAGTTCCAGGTCAGTTGAGAACTCTGCAACCCAACGTTTATTCACAGCTGAGATGGAAGTTTCATAATATCCTCTTCCCCCCTCCCAGTTTGGATGAAAACAAGGAATCCCGTAAACAGGAAGTGGGCAAAACCAAATACAATAACAAGCTTTCACAGCTACCATGATAGTGAAACACTCCAGCACACTATGTCACCTCATCACTACAAATGCAGTAGAGTTCAAAGATGCTAGAAACACGTAGTTTGACCAGTTTCAGAAGGCTGTCTATGCTGCCTGCGTTTCCTTCTTCCCCCTTCTCCATTTTAACCAGAAAATACTCTTCATTGAGACATGTTTTCAACAGATGATACAGAAGGTTTAAGAAATCTTGCCAAAGTAGTTTCTCTCAAGGTACATTTACTGGAAGGCTTGATGAGGAGCTATTTTCCCCCAGTTTTTGTCAGTCATTTCCCACAACTGTAAGATACAAAACCCATTCCTGTAGTCTTCAAGCTCACAGGGTCCAAAAATATGAACTGCTTTATTCTATACTGTCCTCCTTACAATAAAACCTTGCCTTGATGATTCAGTTAAAAATGTATAAAATGGGCACAAGTTTAACTAAAAAACTTTCTAGTCTTACACGAGAAGAACAGAGACATGCACTGGCAACAGAAATAAGCAGCAGCAATTTGGTTTACACAATGCATAAACAGCAATGGTATCAACTGAGCTGCATCTCCAAAAGGATTGACATTATTTTATGAAGAACTACTCTCAGGCTCAAATGTGGTTCAGAAATGAAAAGACCTTTAAGAAAGTCAGAAAGCTTCTATCACAGCATAAAGCTACTCCATCAACACACTCTTTACACCAGGCCACTTGCCAAGTCTGGCCATGGAGGCACCCTTGCCACAGCAGTACTCAGCAAGCCCTGCATAGCAGGCTTTGTTTTGCAGCTAAATTCAGGAACAGCTTCCTCAGGCAGATACATACTTGGTAGAACATTACAAGAGAAATCACTCAATAGAGTACCTCAACAATTTAACCCAAAACACACAGCTGTAGAGGAAGACTGAAATTATGAATGACAGGAGCTTCACAAGGAGCCATCACACAGCTCTTCACTAACAAAGATAAGAGGCAACACTAAAGCCCATCTGCATTTCACCAGCATGACCTTGACCATGCAGAGAACTTTGTTTCTTAGAAAGACAGCACTAACACAGGGACTTGCCTCCGCTTCGAGTTTCAGCCTCTGCTCTCCCCTGCAAGGACTACTTAAAAACCTTGAACTACATCAAAATAAGTTATTACCAACCAACCCCAGACTAAACACACAGTCATGACTTTGGCTTGGAAATTAAGAACGCTTCACCAAAACATCTCTTCTAAGATCTTCAGCAGCAGAAAATGAATCTGTACTAACTCAGTAACCAAACTGAGACAGAAGCAGCCTTTTCACTTCAGTAACTCCAGGAATCCATTATTCTCAAGTGCTCAAGACCGCAGTTAAAACAAAGGATAGATATGAGGTCTATCCCCAAAGCTGTATGGCTTTTCTCCGAAGTTTCTCATTCCACTATGAGGATTAGTCCTGTGTCAGGAAAAGGCAGTCCACGATTTAAACAAGTTACTACTTCCAACAGAAAATATTTCTACATCATTGAAAGTACACACCTGCCATTTAAAAGGGAGAGCTTTTTCCTCCCCAGCCCAAAAAGTCACCAGGTAATTTAGCTTTTAAAGATTATTCAACTATGTTTAATAAGAAGATACGTAAAAGGTACCGATTAGGAAGGCACATTTCTATGAGGGCAATGCAAATGGGAATACTTAGATCCCCTTCAGGGATCATTATTTTCATCCTAAAATACACTTTCTGCTCTGCTAACAATGCAGGTTCTGTATACCTGCAGCCATTCTTATTCTCTCCTGTTTTAAGCTCTGTCAGTGCTGAGCCCCAGATCTGGCACATCACTAGTGCTCAACAGGAGAGGGCTCCTCTGGAAACTGGAGAAGTCTTTCACGTTATCATACAGAGCAAAAAAACAAGCAGTTATGGCAAACTTTCACTAATAACAGCCTCTACTGTTTTCTCTCTGGAAACAGTAGAACCATTGCAGCCTTCTTCAAACATTACCTACCTTTGCAAACACCATTTTCCAAATCACTTGTAGGTACGGTTACCTATGGGTATGTACTATCAAACCAAAACCCCCACCTTCAAACTCAGTCCTGCTTCCAAACTTCATACTGTCTCAGTTCAATACTGCATAAGCAGCTCAGAAGAATGACAAATACACTCCCACAATTCAGACTAACAACTTTATTCTTCAGTGTATTTGTGCAAAACTATTAATTCCCCCTCATCAGAGCACAACAAAGAGGAACTCTGTGAAAAACACAGTTATTTGACTTAAGAAAGAAGCATGGCGAACTTTGACATAAATATAAGCTTTCAGTGTAAAGTAGTATTAAGCTTTATTCTGGATGGTGAGCTTGCTGTCCAATGCCTCTCAGGGATTCTACATCACTGGTGATTCAGTAGGACTGCATGGTAGGACAGGTAGTGGGTTAATAACAAGCACTGGCAAAACCAGGGTATAAAAGCAACTAGCAAGAGATTGCTCTGTGCTCACTGGAAATGCAGCACAGGTTTAACTGCACTTAGATACTGAAGGCAGCCCCAAGATTTTATTTGCAGCTTCTATACAAGCAACAAGGCACAAGCTTGTTCTGTTGCCTTCATGTATAGCAGTACAAGCAGCTTCCATGACATAACAGCTTTACAGTCAATTCCACAACACCTAAACTGACTTTACTGTTCACTCCAGCAGCAGACAGCGTTTCAACTGCTAGCGTATCTATATGCCCACTTTGAAACTGCCAATAACTAAATCCAGTCATATTTTGCACATCAGGTTTTATTGTTCTGCAATAGTTAGTTCTGATCTTTTACCATCTGCACACATGACACCAAGCCTCACATCTTCATCAGTGGTAGAACAATGAAAGCCTCACCCAGTGCACCCCCTACAACATGCACGCCCCCATCAGGGATGGTCAATCCAGAGAAGTCCGTGGTCCCCACCACAATCGGAAGACCTTGCAAGTGGATGACCACAGCCATGCTGTGCTGAAGCCACACACCTGCAGATAAGAAAAGGTAATGGCTATATCAGACTACAAAACAGCATTTACAGACACCATTTACATTGTACAGTCTTAATGGCACCGTATGAAGACTAAGTACAAGTCTCACAAACATCTGAAGACCACTTTTAAAACTTGTGATCAGCTTCCCATGTCAGTGCCAAAACCAACAGACTTCTACTGCCTGCAGACAGTCAAAATCTGCCTACCAGGTTTTGCCTACAGCAGCACTGTAACCATGAAGTATGCCTCACTGTACTCTATCCTCATATAAAGCCAGAAATACACCCTCATCCTGTTAAAGCGCTAACTCAGAAAGGTTCTGTACCAGCTGTTCATCTAAAGATCCCTATGCTCCTGCCTCATGTTTTGTTTATGCATGTTTTTTCACAGTAAGATGAGTAAGTTTTAGTACACAACCCCAAGTTTCAGATGTCCTTAGCACTGGTACTTCACAACATAATGCCTCAGATTTTCAGTCAAGTTGGATTTTTTTTAATGCAACAGGAGCAGAAATGAGAAAGATCTGAACTGGATGTGAAGACACTGCCAACAAATTCCAAGGAACACTGCATCACCTCCTTTTTTCTATTCAAAAGACACTTCAAACAAAGACACTGGACTACACGCAGTTCTTATCTGCACCATGTATGAACCTCCATTAGATCTTAACCAGCACTCACCTCTTGCTTAGAAAGCTTCCCAGATTCAACCAACAACTACACAGGCAAATTCTTCTGACTGAGCAACACAAACTGAAATTGGATCCTGAACTGACACTGAAAATTTCCATGAGAATAACACTGTACAGATAATTCCTCAACACTAAAACATTCCCTCAAACCACAAGAGGTATGAAGTATTCATCTCAGACTCCTATTTTTCCTTTATAGTAGACTAACAGAACCAACACCAATAAAAAAAGTCTACATTTGCTCTCTTCTTCAGGCAAGACTTAAAGTACTCTGTGACAAAGTAAAACAGGGGTCAGCACATGTTAAGTTACCCTCCCCAAAGCAAGATCCTCACACCCTAAGATCACAAAGACAGTGAGAATGTCATTTCTATCCTCCCAACAATAACTGTGCTGTCAGTTCAAACTGGTGGCGAGACTGGCACAGACCAGCATGGCAGCCGAAATCATGAACAGGGGCAATTGAACAGAAAACCTATTTTTCTATATTAAAGCTTATTTGAATTACCAAGTGCAATTAAAGAAATACTCATTGCTGAAAAGAACTCTTTTCAATCATGTGATCATCTCTCATTTAGCCTTTCTGGTTTCTCCTCTTTCTTCCTGTTGCACACTAAAAGACAAACACTCCTGAACACTGAAGAACCAAACAGATTTGGGAAAAGTGTTTAAGTCACAGGAAATAAAGCAGGTTTTTCCTAAATAAAACCACATTCAAAAAAGTCTACTTGAACAAAACTGCCGTTTTTTTCCACCAACTGAAAATATGCAGTTTTTGTTTCAAGAATGTAAGGATTTAATTTAGAGAAATGCTATCCACAGTGGCTCTGCAAGAATTAAGAAAAATCTGAACTTTAAAGTAAAACTGAAAAAGCTTAAAGAAAAGCTATAATTAACAAGAACAAAGATCCATGCTTATACTCACCAAGAAGAAACTCGTTCCTTATCTGGCTGCAAGCATTCCAAACACTGTTGTACGACTATAGGGAAGGAAAAACATAAAGTCATGTGAATTCTGAAACTAAAAGTAATGTAGAGCTCAGAGAAGCATCTTCTCTACAGCAAACGATACCCCAGTCATACAATAACACCTCTGGAACACCCATTTCATCTGAAGTTATTTCAGTACACAGGGTCAGCAGGCTGCTGTGAGCCAAACTAGAAACTTCAAGAGATCCTTAAAGACACTCCATCCACATACCCACATCAAATTTCTCCAACACTTATGCTTTGCCAGACAGAAGCCACTAGTACCTTTATCATCACTCCTACTTTGATCCAGCAGGTATTTCAGAATCACCCCATTAACTAAGCTAGTGGGCAGTGTAACTACCAAACCTCATACACACGAGTAACTCAAAATTCAAGGTACTGCCTGCAAATGCCTAAAGAACAGCTCACTGACATGTTAAATGCACTTCAAGGAAATAACAGCCAGTTTTATTTGGTGATTCTAGTTGAAATGCCAGGCTAAAGACGCAGCACAGATGACCATCATGAGCTCGCTGTCTCCACCTCTTTATCTCTTTTGCCTTTTTTCTTCCTTTCCCTTTCCTCTGCTACAATTGCAGAAATTCTTACCTGCTCTCCCCACTTCTCTATTTAACCACTATAAGGCAGATAACACTTTCAAGTAAATTGTTTGAAACCTTCAAAAATAGTTAAATGCAATCAATCTGCCCCAAATCTACCTTCTTTCCCTTTCAGTTTTATGAGAGCTACTACTGAGAAACCCAGACAAATACCACTGCAATTATACTCCCATCTTCCAAACAATCTTTAATTCTGAGGACAGCAGCTAAAAAAAGAGAAATACCAAGTATGAGAAGCAGCCTACAAACAAAACTGAAACTGCCAAATCCGAGTGGAAGGGTCAGAACACCCGAGTGTTCTAGATTTGGAAGTACATCAAAATGCTTTTGCCAAACGACTACAGCAGGCTGGGATTCACTTCTGATGTAACACACAATTCCTGCTCATACCAGTGCATTTCTGATGCAATACCATGATGGCTAATGAACTTTAACAAGTCATCTTCCAGTACTTACGGGTTATTTATAAAACACAAAACAACAAACCAATACCTGAGGTGAGATACAAGCCTTCAACAAGATTAAATCATGGGGATACTCTGAGTCCACAAGCCTGGGTTTTCGAGACATATGGCAGTAAGACTGATGCTTTCTGAGTATGTAGAAACAGCCTTTAAACTAGTCAGAGACACATTAAAAAAAACCCTTCTTGCATTCAGAAATAATTTTAACACCACAAAAAAGCAGCATAACAAATGGGGGGGGGGAATCACATTAAACACTTCTCTCACTGAAAAAGCTTCTAGCAACTCTCAGCATCTCTGGTTTTAGATCTTCTTAGTTAAGAAAGAATATATTTAGTGTGAAGAATATTTTACGGTGCAAATTCATGTATCAGACAGTAAGAACTCTCTCAAAGAAATTAGAGTTCACCCGTTTAACAACTGAAAAGATCTGCAGAGAGCTCAAGCAAGCTGCACTGTACCTTGTGGAAGTACAGTCTCCATATCATAAGTTCATCTCATCAATCCATGCATGTCTAGCCATGTGAACAAACACGAGCCAAGATGACCAAACACAGCCCTCTCCTGTCAGTGAGGACATCCTCAGTTGGATAAACCACATTCATCACGTGGCAGAGGGATCTGACTTCTGGTCATACAAGAAATAACAGTTTCTTCATCCACATTCATGTTAAGACACGCAGGGCTTCTCCAGACTGCACAAGTGGCAGAAACAAGCTACAGCCATTTGTATTACTCCAAGTCTACAGCAGTCCACAGACTGGGCACACTAATGCAATTTCTCCTGTTTTACTACCTGAAGTGAAGCTGCATACAGCTACTTCATGGCTCTGAATGCACCAAGTGTAATTGTCCTCAGAAGGCACTTTTGCCCTGCTAAACGCGTAGCCAGAGGCTTAGAATGCCTTCATCAAACCAAAACAGAATCAGGAAAAGAGTGGACTGATTCTCTGCCATTCTACACTTGCTCAGAAGCAAAACCAACAAAAACAACACCCTGTGGATCTCCCTGGACAAACTTACTAACAGTGAGACTGTATTTAACTATTTGGCTTAGGCTGAACCTACTGCACACCCTGGTCCAGGTGCTAACTGTCAGAGAGTGGCTTTGCATAGGAGATGAGGAAAGGAACCACACATGAGCTCAAAACCTCACGTGTCAATCTCAGTATTTTGCAAAGACAACCAGTTTCTTCTTAAAAGAACATACCCTTAAGAAATGGGTAGGGACCAAGAATTTATTTGCCTGCTCACTGTGTGCCTGGCTACAACATTTAGATTCCTAAGTCTAATACTGTTCCGCACTCAATGCCAATGTTTCAAAGTCAGTACAAACATCTGAGTATTAAGTAGGTCTGAAGTACTGCCACCTACATCCCTACTGCAAGTAAGACCTTGGTATTCTAGAGAAATCCACATTTCAGAGAGGAATTTAATCCTTCAGGCTACATGCTGGTCAGTAAGCTGACCAATTCATTCCTCAGTTTTGACCAGATGTCCCGCCCCTGGCTTTGAGGTTGCTCTGGTTGTTCCAGCAGCACCCTATATACTTACAGCAGACTGCTGAACCTAAGGTTTTTTGTATCAGCTGGTATCGACATGTATTTTAGCTGTGAGAGGAAAAGATTCTGACCAAAACCAGAAGGAGCCAATAGGAAAGCACAAAAATAATCTGATAACCGTACCTGCAGCAGTAACTGGAGTTGGGCTTCTGACTCTTAGAAGAAATCTACCTGTAAAATCCATAAAAAGGAAGTTTGAGAAATATTTTTCATAGATGATTTATATCACCTGCAATACTGGCCACTGAAACCTCCCACAGGGCATCATTGCCAGCCAGTCAGTATATATAGTGTTCTGACACACGTGGCATTCTCAGTTTCATTACTCAGTTCCCTCCTGACTGGACAGGGTCAGGTCTATCTTACTTGCTGATAAAGGACACTAATATCAAGGGAAATCTTGCAAGTTACATTGCCATGAGCTTTGATTTGGTCTTCATTTAAGATAGCTCATTAAGCAGACAAATCATTTGTGTCTGTGCCTCACTGAGAAGGACGAAACTCCCCTGTTTTATTACAAGAAGAAAGAGGTGCACTTCAAGGCTGCTTGCTAAGGATGCTCAGTTCTACAACCGGAGCACCAGAGGTGTTCAAGACAGCTTCCTGACACGAGCACTCTGTGGAACAAGAGGATGCTCTCCATTTCTTTGGGAAGCAAGTGCCGAGTATAAGTAGAAGAAAGAGAAGCCCATTTTAAAACTAGGATTTTAACATCAGCAACAAGATCAGGAAAGCCCTTTGGTACTAACTTCACCCTGAATAAACAAACCCTATGCTAACAGATGTTAAAATGCAGGTAGCTGTGTTATAAGAACTAAAGACACAGATGGAGACAGTTGTACCTCTTTTTAACCAGTTTCATAAACCCACCTGAAATGGAGTCCTTAAAACAAGACAGACTGCAGCTGGCTATTCTGAAACAAGGCTGGCTGAAAGTGCTCAAGCCCCGTAAAACCACGCAACTGCACGGCAACAAACATCAAGCCTCAAAGAGTACTTATATTCCAACATGCGTTATCTTCTGCCACATGCATGAGCAGCCAGTCAGCACGGACACATTATACACCCACATGTGCATGATCTTGCATTCACAAAATAAGGAGCCATCAGTTCCAAAAGGTTTTTTGGAATATATAGGTGATGCCGCTATTGGCATTTTGACAGCAAGGAGAAACCAAGAGCTATTTCTTACCTGAAACAAGTCTTCTCCTACAGGAAGCAGGGGTCAAAATAAACCTGTAGGCAAGCAAGGAACAGAAGTAAAAGATGATAAGGGATAAATTGAAACAAAAGAAGGAAGAAGTAGACTTGTTCAGCTGCTGAATGAACTATTACAAGCACTGCATAAGACTTGTCAATATGATGCACCATTAAGCCCAAAGTATACGCAACTTCTCTTTCACTTAAACCACTGCACCCACACAGTTAGGCAACCATCAAGAACACGGTTTAAATACTGATGACAACCACTTGTGAGGCTGAACAATAAATCCTCCCCCCTGCCTCATGTACACTCTTTAGCTCAGCTCACAATACTTGCACAAGTGCTCACATCTGCGCAGGGCAGTGCCATATGGGCAGAAATGAGGAGACAAGTGATAGGACAGCTTTCCTACAGCAACAGCTCCCATCAAGGTCTGACAAATCACAGCGACACACAATACATAGCTTCTGGAGATGCAGTCATAGATAAAATACGTGGTTACAGAGAATTTATTATCCCTGACAATTAAATCAAGGATTGCACCCTCCTTTCCTGACCAAGGGGGAGAATTTAGGTCAGTATCACTGCATAGGTTATCCAGGAATTACAAGAGCAAAAGAAAGTGCTTCAGAGAACTTATCCAATTAACGGTAAGAATTAATTACACGCTTCTTACATTTCAGTCTAGGCAGCACTGTTATGAGCAATTACTATTCCAGCCTCATTCCAAGCTTGACCTTAATGAATTACTCTGGATTACAAGCAAGCAGATTTTCCTCTCAGGCTGCTCAAGTCAAATTTTACTTCCATTCAGGAGACATCAGCAAACTTATCAGCACGAATACACTGAGCTCTTGCACAGGCTGACTGAGGTCAGTAACAAGTGAATCACCTTCAATTCTACAACTATGGAAAGTTACACCAAGATTACACTGCAAGTAATTCTTGTTGCAAGTCTTCTCACGTGGCTTTCTTTGGAAACTGGTCCTGTGAAAGGATCCTTGCTCAATTATAGAAGCATAAATGAACCCAGGTCCAAAGCATTTCTGTTAGCGATGCTCAATTACAAGCTTCTGTACAGACAGCTAACAAAAGGTTACTTGAAGCCATTAGCACTGTTTTTAACAGTTGGGTTTATTCTCCTACAGCATAAACCACCAATTTCTGTACACAGAGAGATGTTTATTTTATTCAGCCTAAACTCATCAACATTCAAATACCCTTTCTGATCTATTTTCAAGCTAGAAGCAATAGCCTGGGATCACAGAAACATCCAATACCAGGAGGATTTTCAATACGCAAAGCAGATACAACCATTTCCCCAAACTGACAGTCTACTTTGACTAACCAAGCCGTGCTATGACCACAGTCTGGTCGTCCATGCAATAATGCACATCGACTGCAATAAGCCATAGCTGAACCTAGGCCTATGAGGAGAAAGAACATGGTGCCTCCCAACCCTATGCTTTAACAGGTATGACATGAAACAGCGCCTGGGTTAGGGCAAGGATCCACCGTTATTTCTGCTCCACAAAGACATCTTGAAAGGACAAAACGCGGCGGCATGGAGACATTCCCCAGCCTTCACGGGACACCGCAGCCTCCAACCGGCGGTACCGCCTACACAGACCCACAAGGCGCGGTGACACCCTGCGGTGTGCCTGCCCCACGCCGGTTCCTCCCCGCTCCATTCCTCGGGGCCAGGCGAGGAGCAGCGCCCGGAGCCCGGCTGAACACCCCCGGGGCCGGCCCCAAGCCCAAGGGCCCAGGCGCCGACAACGGGACCGCGCCGCTGGGCGCTCAACTCCCGCGGCCCCGCCGCTCACGGCCCCCGCGACCCCCTCACGGCCGCCGCCACAGCCCCCGCTCGGGCTCCGGCACCGCCGCAAGGTCACTTGACCGCCTCCGACGGCCGGGCCCTCGGCGCCTGCGCTCGGCCCGCACATACTCACCTGCCCGCGCAGCCCCGCGGGGCTCGGGGCGCGGCCGGAGGGAAGGAGGAAGGGAGGAAAGGAGCGGACCGGGGCCAGCCCGGACCCCTCGGCCTCAGCGCGCCGGGCAGCGGGGAGGCGGAAGCGGCCCCGCTCGGCGCCCCAGGCCCGCAGCGCGGGAGGCACCGCCCGGCCCGGCCCTTTGTGCGCGGGGACGCGTGCCAGCCGCGCCGCGCCCGGCCTCCCTCCCCTCGCCTCGCCGCCACGCCGCGGGCCCGCAGCGCTGGGCAGGGCAGGCGGCCCGGCCCGCCCGGGCGCCGCCGCGCTCTTACCGAGGGATCTGTACGGGAAAAAGGGTTAGAACGGAGCCGACCCGCCCCGGGCCCCGCTGCGCGCCGAGCCCAGCGCCACCGACCGCGCAGCGACACAAAATGGCCGCCCCGATGCGGCGCCGCCAGCGGAGGGGCGGGGCGCGGGGTTCCACCTCCTCTCGCGGCCCCGGGGGCGCGCTCGCCCCGCGCTGTGGGGCCGGGCGCTGAGGCGGCGGCGGCGGGGCCCGGTGCCGGGGCGCTGTGGCCCCGTTACCCCGCGGAGCGGCACCGCCCGCAGGGCCCGCCCCGCCTCCGGCTGCCGGGCATGAGAGGCCCCGCGCCCCGCCCGCCGGGCCATAGCGGCGCCGCGGGCCGCAGCGCGGCTCCTGGGCCAATGGCCGCGGGTGCTCGTTCCCGGCGGGCAATACTGTGCGGATCCGAACCGAATCCTGGGGTTTCTTCTTTCAGTCTCATGCTGGGTTAAAGCCAAAGCCAAACGGACACAGAAGAGCACAAATGTTTGCAGGATGAAGTTCACAGAATCACAGAATCAACCGGGTTGTAAAAGACCTTTAAGATAATCAAGTGCAGCCGTTCCCCAGCACTGCCAAGGCCACCACTAACCCATGTCACTGAGCGCCTCGTCTGAACGTTGTGTGAGCACTTCCAGTCACGGTGACTCCAGCTCTGCCCTGGGCAGCGTGTTCCAATGGCTCAGACCAGCCCCAGTTCAGTGTGCGCAGTGCCATGGACGCATCCAGCGGCAGGGGCAGGATGCTGCGCTGGAGCCGAGCTGGCAGTGGGACCGGCAGGGCACTGTGCCATGGGAGCAGAGCCGGGCCGCTGACAGTGACCCGATGAGCATGCATGGCCCCACAGCGGGCTGCAGTCACGGCACATGGGCTGGTGTCAGGGTGGGATCGGGGCAGCATCCCTTAGGAAGGCAGAGGAAGCTCCCCGTGGGGCATCCTCAGTTCTCCCCCTTCAAGGCCAGTTCTACAGCTGTGCTATCAGAGCTGTCCTTGGGCACAGGCAGCGGTGCTAACCGCATTGCCCTTGCTGCCGGAGAGCTGAGCTTGTCGGCCAGCTCCCTGTACCTCAACACAGAACACGGGGCACATGTCCAGGGCAGCGTCCCTTCCTTCTGCTTGCACTTGTGCACTGGGGGACCTGTGCTCAGGAAGCACCTCTGGCATTGCCCACAAGAGGAAGCCAAGCAGCTCCATCCTCACCAGCACCCAAGGGGCCAGCACGGCCATCGGGAACGGGTGTCCCTGTGCCGTTGGAGTTCATCTGCACAGGGACCCGTGCGGGAGCCCTCGCAGCCCACGCGGGGTCACTGCTGCTCTGCTGCCGAGAGGCGGCGAGATGTGCGCATCCTCCGCGCCGGTGGGGACCGGGTGAGGGCCGGTATGGGCCAGGGGGCTGCAGGCTCAGCCCCACCGCGGTGTGTGCAGGGGAGATGTCTCTGCCAGCTCTCCCCACCGTGCCTCATCCTGCTCGTACCTGCTCCTGCTGGAGGTCCCCACAGGCCTGGTCCCAAGGTGCACACAAGGGTGGGAGATGAGGGGCTCACCATAACACCGTACCTTCATCACACCAGGGCTCCACACCCACGCAGTTCCTGCCTCAGGACAGCTTCTCCTCTCTTCTTCGTTGGCCAAAGCATCCAGAGGGGCTGGGAGCTGCCTGCAGACCTCCAGGGAAGGATGTCCTTGGAGCAGCGTGGGG